CTTAGCTAGAAAAGCTGTTGAAGTTGGATTAACAGTAGCGCCATATATAAAAACATCATTATCGCCTGGTTCTGGTGTGGTAACGTATTATCTTCAAGAAAGCGGAGTTATTCCGTATTTATCAAAATTGGGCTTTGATAACGTCGGTTACGGATGTATGACTTGTATTGGTAATAGTGGACCACTTCCAGAAGTTATAGTAAATACCATAGAAAAGGTATTTCAATCAAATTTGATCAATCGAAAGTATTTATTTTTTTTTCTTTTTTTTTTTTTTTTTTTTTCTACTCGTTTTTTCTGACCATTTAATATTTTATCTTAGAACGAACTGGTATGCTGCGGCGTGTTGTCCGGGAATCGAAATTTCGAGGGTAGAATTCATCCAAATACACGAGCAAATTATTTGGCATCGCCACTTCTGGTTATCGCATATGCTATTGCTGGCACTGTTGATATTGATTTTGAAAAAGAACCCTTGGGTATGCGACTTTATCATGATATTAATAATAATAATAATAAATAAATAAATAAATAAGTAAATAAATAATGTTTTATTCTTGTGTAATAGGATACAAGAAAGATGGAACGGCTATATATCTCCAAGATATATGGCCTACAAGAAAGGAAATACAAAACGTCGAACAAAAATACGTTATACCGGCTATGTTTAAAGAAGTATATGAAAAAATTGAAAAAGGTAGCAGCAGTTGGGCAAATTTAGTAGCTCCTGATGGTAAATTATATCCTTGGGATGTTAATTCCACATATATTCAAAAACCACCATATTTTGATAAGCTCGAGAAGGTGGGTCGTCGTATGTATTCATGGAACTATTCACTTCTTTGGCTTTTATATATGGGAATTTAAGAAAAAATTGATCAGTTCTTTTATATCTTCCAATATATACTTTATTTATTTATTTATTTATTTATTTATTTTATTTTATTTTATTTATTTATTTTTTTTTCTTTTTTATATGATTTAGGAGATCCCTAAATTAGAATCTATTACCAATGCACGTGTACTCTTGAATCTTGGAGATTCTGTAACGACTGATCACATTAGTCCTGCTGGTAGTATTGCACGTAATTCTCCAGCAGCGCGATATCTTTCGAGTCGTGGGTAAGTTTTTGATAATTATTTTTTTATTAAAAAAAAAAAAAAACAAATATAATATATAATTCATGATCTATAATTGTATTTGTCATATATATATATATTTTTTTTTATAGATTAACACCAAAAGAATTTAATTCTTATGGCTCTCGCAGAGGAAATGATTCTGTTATGATGAGAGGAACTTTTGCAAATATACGTTTACTCAATAAATTTATTGGTAAACCTGGACCACGAACGATTTATATTCCAACTAACGAAGAGGTATTGCTCGTATTATATATTATTTACGTATTTATTTAATTTCCATAGATTCGGTAATATTGCGAATTTATATATATATATATATATATATTTCAGATGGATATATTTGATGCTGCAGAAAAGTATAAGAAAGATAGGACTCCATTAATATGTTTAGTCGGTAAAGAATATGGTTCTGGATCTTCTAGAGATTGGGCTGCAAAGGGACCGTATCTTCTCGGTATACGAGCGATAATAGCTGAATCTTATGAAAGAATTCATAGGTAATTATAGAATGATAACTTCAATTTTGTCTCTATAGTCTATTCAATTGAACTATATAATCTATCCATATTGATGATACAATTAATACATTTTTTTTTTTTATTTCAATAGGTCTAATCTTGTAGGAATGGGCATTATACCACTGCAATATCTTCCAGGACAAAATGCGGAATCATTAGGATTAACCGGTTTAGAAAAATTTAACATCATTCTTCCTAATGATTATCAGCCCGGTCAAAATATTACAGTAACAACTGATCAGGGAAAACAATTCGAAGTTATTGTACGTTTTGATACAGAAGTTGACTTAACTTATTATCAACATGGGGGTATTCTTAATTATATGATCAGAACAATGCTCTAAGTTTTTTCTTTTTTTTTTTTTTTTTTTTTTTTTTTTTTATAAAATCAAATGTGTATAACTTCAATGGAAAATGTTACTTAAGCGGATACTTAACTCGTGCTTGGCTTTAAAATAATTACTAATAACTGTTTACAATTACAAAACTAATAATTGTTGGTGTATATTATTGTTAAAGGTGGTATGGTATAAAATTGTTTATATTTTAAGATATATTATAAAAATGTTTAAGAAATCACAAACTTGGAATATCCATCTCTGAAATTAGTTTTATATAACAGTAACGATATATTTATGTAACGCATACACTTAAAACATCGATGTTGTTTAAACATACTTTTAAAATTTTTTATTTTAACACGTTTACAATTATAAATTTTTCTTTCGATCAGGCATATTTAGTCATTAAGAAATTGTACAAATTATTAAAAATTTCTCGTAATTTACATATTATCATGATTGTAAAACTAAACGTGAACAAATTCATATGTCAACATTTCTCTGTAATTAATTTCCTCATAAGAATATCCTGAGAATGTAAGTTCTGCTAAGTGCTGATCTGTTGCACCATAAAGATGACAACTATCAAAACTGATACTATAAATGGGACTTGACATACGTAAATTCATAAAGTAAAGCTAAAAAAAAGAAAAAAAATTACAAATATTACTTGATAAATATCAAGATATTTTTAAGTGACATAAAGTATTACCTGTATATAGTGTTTCTGTCTTTGATCCCACAAAACAGCTTTACAATTAAATTGTGTTCCGGAGACTAAAGTATGTTGATAATCTGAAGAAATACAGTAGAGTGTTGCACTTGTAGGATCAGCCCATGAAGACACGCACATTCCACATCTATAAAACAACAGTAATGAATAGAATATTGATTATAAAAAAAAAAAAAAAGACGAAAAATATATAATATTATATTTACCTCATATCCCATTTTCTAATATAAGTATCATATCCACATGTAAGTAGAGTATATGGATTATCCCAAACCATGTCCAATATTCCTGCTCCTCGTCTCCAATTGTGCTTTACTATATCTGATATACTACAACTAAAACATGCTTTGATAAGATAGATAAATCGTTGTTCCGTATTGTAAATATATATATAAAAAATGTTGATAAATACAAAATTAAATGTATATAAAGTTAATGAAATTTCTCTATTGTTATATATTATTAATATTAATAATTAAATTATTATATTATTATGTTACTATTGTAAATGTTTAATAAAAAAAAAAGCTTAAAGTATATTCACCATTCAATATCAAATATGTTTAGAGGTGGTCCATCACCATTTCCAGATGAACCTACGGCAAATTTTAATCCTGTTGGGTCAGCTACGACAGACCATATCCTATCTCTCACGTTTATACTTGCCAAAGGTGGTTCGGTGTATCTTCTATTGGGTAATTTCCAAACCTGAATATGCATGACTTTCTAATTTAGTTTTCCTTTCACAAAAGACATAGTTTTTACACGCTTACTTTTACTATCCCATCTCCAGCACCTGATACAATAATTTGACCAATTTTATCTACAGCATTCACGTCAGATGAGTGCGCCCTATCTATACTGAAGCAAATATGATCATCTCCTCGTTTTGCCTTAGTCCAAAATTTTAAGCTACCATCTCTAGAATTAGAGTAACAATATAATAACAATATTTTCCTATGTTAAAATATAAACTTTTGTGAAATCCTTTACCTATGTCCAGACACAATATATTCGTCTTTAACAACAAATTTGCAAATATCGCTTCCAATATCATTTTCATTAAAAACAAGTACAGTTCCTCTAAGTGGTTCACTTCTTCTAAAACCACAAAGCCTATCACCACCGCTCCACCATAATATGTCATCGGTTAATTGTAACCAAGGCATCAACTTCGCTTTTTGTGAGAAAATAAATTTTTTCTTGTACCGTCCATACTGCCAATTGTGGGAAACGTGCCACTTTTTACGAAGACATAACAATGGATTGCATCTGTGTAAAAAAAGAAAAATAAAAATAAAAGAAAAGAAAAAAAAAGAGAAAAATAAAATAAAATATATATATATAAAAAAAAAAAAAAAAAAAAAGAAAAAAAAAGAAAATCAGACCTATAATATAAATATGTATTTACGTAAATATTAATCCACAATAAGTTTCTACGTAAAGTTTTAATTTTAATATGTTACAAACATAAGTTCAATATATAAAAGTTAAATCATTAACCTACCAACCTTTCACGAAATTTCGCTGCAGCTTGATTCGTCACGAGCGGTTGATTACTCCTCTTTTTCCAAAGAGTATCATCGTGTATGATATCATAAAATCGTGTACAAACTTCACTGAGTCGAACCAAATCGAAGGCATGACAATAATTAAAAATTAAGATCAGAACATCGGACGGTAAACTGTCCAAGCGCCAAACACCTGTCATCTTTGTCACGTGATTAGTTATCTTTGTCTCTCTTGATAGTATTTTGCCGTTACGTATGTATATATATATATATATATATATATATATATATATATATATATATATATATACATACATATACGCATTAATTATTAATTGTGTGTTTGTTAGAGATATGACTTTCAAATGATAATATCAAAAATAATAATATTTGTAATCATTATTCGATATGCATATATAGAAGATATATATATGTGTGTACGTATACACATACACACACATACATACACGTACACACATATATATCAAATCGATTTTAAAATTATATCTATTACATTAGATTTTCTTAGATTGTTCAAATGTTAATTATCCTTTGACATTAATTTAATTTATAATAATAATTGTAATGCATAGTTATGTATTATTTATTATTTTTATTACGTACATGCGTATACTCGCTTTAGTTTATTGTAATTATCGTAAAGAATATTTATCGTTTCTTGAAGTATAAAAAAATCTTATTAATTTTTATTTTATTTTTTATATATGTACATTATCTTATTAACAAATGTTTAAAAAAATAATATATCCTTGTTACAATCTTGTTATTACGAACAAACATTGTCAGAGTATATGCATACATACATATCTATGTATTTATTGTAAATATATTTTTAAAAAATGTTATGATACTGTTATTTCTCAGCAACAATACATTCTATATTTGCATCCTCCGGTGATTTCCATTCAATTTCTTTTCGAGTATCTACGATAAAATAAAAAATTTTGATTATATCATATATATATACATATATATATATCCCTTATTAAGGATATCATTTATAATGATATTTTATTATTTTTTACCTGGCGTCGTGTGTTTTAGATAAGTAATATGTAAAAATATGTAGATTAACGCGGACAACATGGCTATCGCAGCAAAAATTTGTAAAGTAATCACACCTCCCATTTCTTTATACAAAATTCCACCAAATAAACTACCGATTGCGTAACCTGATAAAAAAAAAGGGGAGGAAAGATTTAGCGTACAGTTGAATTGGATTGGCAAGAAATTGAAAATTACTTTAAAGATAAATACCTAAACCATCATCCATTCCAGCGACAATTCCTTGAACGGTGGCTGATGTTCCTGGAGGGGACACTGCACTCGCATATGCAACTATAGTTGTATAACAAAGTGCATATGTTGGACCTTGCATAAAGAACTCAATAAGTACGACCCACCAAGGTGTTGATGCCAAAGATATTAGTGTAAGTCGTATAGCGTAACATAATAAGCAAAATGCAAAACTGTATCCATATCCAATTTTTTTCAATATTTTCCCTATAAAATCATGAGAATCTATTGAAATAACTGTTATTTTACATCTAATAACTGTTATAATTTGTTTGTGAAAGAAAAAAAAAAAGAAAATAATAATAATAATAATAATAATAATAATAATAATAATAATAATAATAATAATAGTAACAAACTACCAGATAACGAAAAGAATATTACTTCGCCACCTAATGTTTGAGCCGCTACAATCAGTCCTTCTATTAATTTAATTTTGTACATATAACCTGTAGCCTTTGAAAGATCCTCTAAGTACCTATTAGAAAAACTTGTTTTACACATGTATTATCATTTATCTTATATAATATAATAGTTTCTTTTTTCTTTTCTCTTTTTCTCTTCTTTCCTTCTTCCTTTTATTTATTTATTTATTTATTTATTTATTTATTTTTTTTTTTATTACCAAAACAAAAAGTAAATCATGAAGCTGTCAAGAATACCGGCGAGTGTGGCAAAACATAAAAATATAAATATTGGTTTCGACTTCAATAGATTATAAACGTCTTTCATGATGTTTGTAGATCCTGACATAATAGGTAACTGCAATTAAAAAAAATATATATATATAAATATATATATATATATATATGTATTTGATATATTTAAATATATCGGCAAAATTTAATTGATCTCGTTAGTGTGTAGAGTTGATATTATATTTGTATGTATAATTAAGTCACCTTTAATTTCGTACAACATAGCAAGTCGACAGAGGTAAAAATAAAAACGAGTATAAAAGCGGGCGTATATGTCTTTATAGTTTTTCCCTCAGACCATAGATCTACGGCATAACCGGCTAAAAAGGCAGAAATACCAAAACCTACAGTACCCCAAACACGTTGTCTGCCATATCCCATTTGACCGCCTTCTCCTAAAAGTATAAACAATGTGTACGCAAAATAATAATCGTCATTTTACGATGTTATACCATTTTCAATTCACTTTTATCATTTATATTATAATGTAGGATTATAAAAAAAAAAAAAAAATATGTACATTATTTTGTCATATATATACCTAATACATCGAAACAAATTGCATCGCTGATACAATTTGAAATGTTGAAACCTATGTTACCAAGCGACATTAAAAGTACAAAACTCCAAAATGTCATAGATATATACAAATTATAATTATCCTCTAAAACCAGACTTGTTTTCGTACAATTATTATTATTATTATTATTATTATTTATTGCACAATTATTGACTCTTGTTACATCGATAAAACAAAACGCGTTCGATGATTCCTCTGTATTCATTCGTACGAAAGACGAATTATTATTTTCATTGTCGCATATCCACCGACACGTTGCATTTTTCTTCTTTACGCAATTCAACATTGTTGCATCCTAACGAAGGAAAATTTCAAGAAAAATAAATCAATGACATTTTATATCTAAAAAAAAAAAAAAAAAAAAAAAGAACGTGGGAAATTTATTACATTACTCACATAAAACTCGCAGTCATATAACGACGAACATGAAATATCATTGTAATTGATTGAAACTTCATTCGATATTGCCGGTACAAAATATATACATATATAACAACCACTTGTTAATGTTAATAAAGCAACAAATATCGATTTCCTCCAGTTATAAAAATAATCCACTAAGAAACCGAATATTGGTTTGGTAATGAGAAATAAAATTGGAAGTACCGCGGTAACGCTACCCATAACTAAAGGTGAAACGCCAAGTTGTTTACCATATACCGGTAAGAAAGGAAGTATAGGACCCATGGCTAAAAGTAAAATATTAAAAAAATTCTAATGGACAAAGTTAAATATTGAACATTCGGATTAAATATGATCTTTTCTTTTTTCTTTTTTTCTCCGAATAAATGTATTATTACAAGTAATATTTCTCACTTACCTCCCATGAAGAAGAAGTAATGTATTTTTACAGGCAACTGAATATAATTTATCTTCATCGTTTCAATCTTTCCCCTATATAGGTTTCCTTTTTTTATTTAAATAAATTGAAAATATTAAAAAACAATATATAAATTTAACACACACACACACACACACACGTATATATATACATGTACATATATATATATATATATGTCATAAATAAATAAATAACAAAATTATATGAAATTTAATGTATTATATGATTTTAATTGGAGAAAAAACCAATTGTATTTAATAATTGCTTTTATACATTAATTTATATATATATTTTTTTTTAATTTTATCACGCCGATATAAATTACGGTATGTTTTAGAACTACTGCTACGTGTCGATAAAATGTGTAATTTTTATTACGATAGAGTTCATTATCTTTCTACTTCTTTTTTTTTCTCTATATCAGCTACATTTATCATTTATAATACAAATGTAATATTATAATTCTAATAACAATTTTAATTCACGACAATTCGATTATTTTCAAAATTACTTTATGATAGAATTGACCAAACAAATGATTACCTGATATAAAGAAACTGATAAATAATTTTGAATGGGCAGTAAATATGAATATATATATATATAAATATATATATATATATCTCAATGTATCATCAAAATATAATAATTGTCATCATTTATGAATATTCGAACGTATTTTATAATAAACATCTACACATTCTTGTAAAATTATAGGTTAGAATGCACTTTATGTATCAACAGCGTGTTTATTTATATATCCCAACACTTTTCACTGAATTATATCTTTAGATTTATCATAAAAATCACAATTCATAATTGAAACGTATTTTTTAATGAAATCATAAAGTAACAATTTAAAAATACTAAAAAGTATATGTATATATATATCTTTATCTATTTCTATTTATATATATATATATAAATCACAGTTTCCCATATCCAGATAAACAGCTTCTTTTAGTTCAATAGATGGACACTATAGAGCGCTGTTTACGGTCACTCACGTTCATTGAAATATAAGAATAGATATTTACAATAATTTTGATAATGTAAGATGCTGTACGATTTAACGTTTTATTTTCAACGAAGAGAAAACTAATTTTTATTAGTAAAATTGTCTCTTTTATTCATAATTGATCATTTTATTAAACTTCGTTATCTTTTCGTTATATTTTCTTTATGATAAGATATTTTGCTTTCTTTTTTTCGTTATAATACATTATATAAAGAAAAGCGAAATGATTGAATGTCAAAGGTCGATAACTTTCTCTTTTCGTGAAGCAAAAATAATGGTTATATTTTGAAAAGAAAAAAAAAAAGAACATTCCAAAGTACATAGTAGCGTACTGGCTTGTTATAAATCAAAAGAAAAAAAAAAAAAAGAGAAAAAAGACAGAAGAAAAAAATAATACGTAAGCATAATAATACAGTAGGTAATTATTTCTAATCACATTTATAAAATCTGTTAATAACATTTAATTATTTTTTATCATAGATACAAAGTAATAGTAGACACGGTCATATCCTGCATGTATAAACGTGCGCTCTCGCGCGCCCGCGCTTTCTCATGCACGTAGTATATTTCTTAGAATAATAAAATAATTATTTACCTCGTACAGTTTGTAGAATTAAATCACGATATTATATTTTTCTCACAGTTTTTATATAATCCTTATTTTATTTGTTTTTATATCGGTTTTTTTCTTTTTGGTTACTTTTTCTTTTTAAATACGTCAACGTATCATTCCAAGAGAATGATAACGCATCACTTTACTATTTTGAACTTGTAACAAATGAAAAGATCGAAATGCTTTGACTAATTTTATTAGAATCTATGCCCAACGTGGCAACTTATCGTTTATAAGAATCATATATATTGTTAAACGAGACACATCCATTGGAATATGATGCAAATTATCTTGACAATGATAAAGTATCTAACTTATCTACGAGACATAATATAGACAAACATTTCTCGATTCGAAACGATATATGAAACCTGTGTAGATTATCTTTATTGCCGTTTGATAATTGTATCGTAAAAACGAAATGAGAAATATAAATGTTGAAACAAAAAAAAAAAAGAAAAAAAGAAAAGAAAAGAAAGAAAGAAAAAAAAGAAAAAAAAAGAAGAGCCCTATTTGAACGTATTTAAACAAATCTGAAATTTGTTTCTATCGAACGATTATATTTACTGCACGTTAGCGATCGCGTCATCGTTTTAATTTAACATATATATGTACATATGTACAACTAGTTAATCATGCTACTATTGTAATGTTCTTTTATTTTATGCAGTAGTAAAAGGCGGAAATGATATCGTATTTATCAAATTACCAATTTATCAAGGAAAATGAAAAAAGTAATAAAATGATAAAATGATACTATGTATAAAATATTTCAATTATACATACACACACACATTATATATTTGTGCATGTATATATATAAATATATATATATGTGTGTGTATATATATATATATATATATATATATATATATATATATATATTGGTTATACATAAAGCAATATAATATAAACAAATATTTATATATATTGTTTTTACATATATTTTATATATATATATATATATATATATATATATTAGAGGAATAATGTAATCAAAAATTTAATGTGAATGTATATCGCGACAAGGAGTGTCGAATAACTGGCTAATACCCCCCCCACTCTTTTCTCTTCGCGGCAACCATAAGCTTAATAATAATAAGTCTAGTTCCCGAAGTGGCAACAGTTTCAGACGGAGCGGAGATGTTATTCGGTCTCGTTTTAATTCGATACGTAACGTTCGGGAAATCGGCTACTATATATGTACCAACCTTTCAAGATTGAAAGATAGATATATGTTAATCCTTTCCTCGTTCAATGTCCTTGGCTGATCTTCTTCGAAGACAGAAGTTGACGGAACGGAGGACAACTACATTACATATATGACGTATCACGTATTTACTTACATACTTATTTACTTACTTTGTCAGTTATTTAAGTACGTATGGATTTAGTTTTGTTGAACGTTAAATCGATACGTTTCAAATAATAAACGTTCGTAATGTTTTTCGAAAAAAAGAACTCGTTCTATTGGGAATTAAATGTGATAAATAAAGATAGCCCATCGCAAATCTCTTGACAACGTTACGGCAACGTATTTTTCCATTTATTCTCTCTGACTAATTATTTACTCATCACAGATACATCAGTGACTAAATGTCAGTTGCTCCCGAATCATCCTTCCGATGCTTCTGTTTAAGTGGACGCGCGAAAGTAAAAAGTGAAAGTAAAATAAAAAATTATTTTATTTCTGTGAAAGACTAAAAGTATCACGAAGGTGAACGTGAGTCTGCAATAATGAATCTCTGGCCTATTTTTTACCATATTTTACTTTACGCTGTGATTTTTGCATTTGATAAATGTGATGTCGTTTATGCCGAAAAACGTAAGTAACAAATGTTATTGACATTGATAAAAAGAATATACATTTTCATGACTTATTATGTTATGTTCAACGATCATCGATATCTCTTTCTCTCTCTCTCTCTCTCTCTCTCTCTCTCTTTCTCTCTTTTTTACGAGACTTTCAAAGTTCATCTCTATTTGTATGATCAGTATTTTTTTATTAATTAATGATAATGATTTTATAAAACAAAAAAAAATAATCATTAGATATACATGAATATTTTGATCATTAATAAATAATTAAGTGTCTGGTTTTATATTAGTATTATATTACATGATGATATTTTATTATAAATACTTATCACATTTATTTGAAATATTTCTTAAAAAGCATTTGAAAATATTGACCCAATGAATAGCACTCCGAAAAAGTATGAACGAATATATTCATATAGATCGTGTTATCATTTTCTTTACTCCATGATGTTTATTATTATTTATTTTTCAATTTATCTGAATCACAATACTCTCATTTATTTATTTATTTATTTATTTATTTATTTGTTTATTTATTTATTTGTTTATTTATTTATTTTTTTTTTATTTAATTTTTATTCCCTTTTAGTGAAAATATGCGTCGTTGAAAGTGTCAATACAAACGAAACGATAAACAAAATCCTTCCGAATATGAAAATATCCCCGTTTCAATGCGTCATTGCTAATGACAGGTAATTTCTATATAATTATTTTACTTAATCATTTATTTATTACCTTACATAAGATATATTTAGAATCTAAATCGACAGGTTTGATTGTTTACGACAATTAACGACTGGCACGGCCGATATAACATTATTGCAAGCGGAAGATCTTTTAGCGGCGTCAATGTACAACAAGTATAGTTTTCTAGTCACCCATGAATTAAGACTTTTTTCTGAGGGTAAATTAAATGGGAGAACTTTTACCAATCGACGTTCTATTCGATTAATGGGATTATTATATTTCTCCCTCGTTTTTCAGATAAACAACAATTCGAAATGGTAGCGTTAGTACGACAAAATATTAATAACATGTGGGATGCCAAAGAGAAAAGATTTTGTCATCCTGGATTTGAAACTACTGACACTTATACCAAAGCTCTTTCGATGGTCAGTATCGTACTTACGATTTTATAGGATTTATTTCCAAAATAAGATTGGAAATATTTAAAAGAGGATTGAAGTAGAATGGGATGTATTTGATTTAATCGTGAGTCTCGTAAGCAAACGATTCATTTGAATATATGAATATCGTTCGTTCGGAAATTATTTGGAAATATGATTAAAATTATGATGAATTCCATATATAATGGAAAAAAAAAAAATCAAAAATGATTTAAAACGAAATTAAATACAAGACTGAATCCCGTTAAGCCGTTATACAAAAATTTCCTTTTTATTTCGATAATAACCGGTATTAATATCAGATCGCGTTTTAAATTGTATTAGTTCTATCAATTTTCCTTCCTCTTTCTCTCTTCTACGAGTTCGTTTAAACATCGTGCAAAAAAAAAATGGGGCACAAAAAAGAGAGGAGAAAACAAAAATTAACGATTCAATTGCGATTACGTTTTTACAATAGAACGAGGAAAGAATCAATTCAAAGCATATCGGTGGGATGTATGCACGTGAGAAATTCTTAGAAAAACTTTATATCGAGTAAGCGTAACGCTTTTGCTTAGTTTCTTTAATAAGGTTCTCAATTGATGGCAATTAGATATCATGGTTAACAATTGGAGGACGGAAACAAAAACAAAAAAAAACAAAAAAAAATCAACACGAGTTTTTGATTATAAATAAAGTGATAAAAAAATAAAAAACGTAAGGAATGAAACGAGATAATCTTTTTTGCTCGCAGTATTTCGAAAATTGGATTATACCTAAAGAGTGTGATCCAGAGAAGACATTGTTAGAAAATAGAGTGGCACGGTTATCTAATTATTTCGAGGCAGGTTGCATAGCTGGTCCATGGATCGCCGATGCTACATTTGATACAAAATTAAGTACGTAATTTTATTAGCGCATAAATTAAAGAATTCTTCTTTTTAAATATTAACATTTAAATATTTATCTCACGAAATTAACGCTTGGCGTATGTATTTGATCTTTTTTTTTTCTTTCTCTCTTTCTTTCTTCGTAGAATCAAAGTACAAAAATCTTTGTTCGCTTTGCGACAATTCAGCCAGTTGTTATATCGGTGACAAATATTATGGACGCGAGGGTGCCATATTGTGTTTGACCGATAATGTTGGTGACATCGCATGGGTTAGATTGGACGATGTTCTTCAATATTTCAAGGTATAAATATAATACGACTGATTGATTCTATAAATTGATATTATTGTACTATATATACGTATCTATCTATCTAAATATTATGATTAACATCGATGGATTTTTTTAATATTAATGGAAAGAATGTCGAAACCAACAAGGAAGATTATGCGTATCTTTGTCCCGATGGTATGACGAGATCAGCAAACACTGACAATCCATGTATTTGGGTGAGACAACCTTGGCCCGTTATCGTCGCTAGAAGGTAATTTATTTTTCTGGTTTATATATATTTTATATAAATTTGTTTATACATTTTAAATGTCGCACCATATCGATCGTGTATATTTCGTTTCAGTAAAATAGCAGAGATGGCCGTTAATATAATCGATTTAACAATTAAATCGAAGAACATATGGAAGAATACACTTCAAGATCTTTTAGCACCTTATCACTCGACATTCGTTAAAACGGAACCTTTGGAATCACCGACAGATTATTTGCAACGATGTAATGTATATAAAAAATAGATTACGAAATTTATATATTGGGAATATAACATATACTGGGCGCGTGTTAAAAGAAGACAAAGAAAAGAAAAAGATCGCGAACATAGTTCTCTATCGATGTAACAAATCTATATATCTGTTGTTGTTCCCTATCGAAGATCCTGGTTTCTTGAGTGCCAATGATCGTGCAACATGTCAACCTACCAGACGTGTACGTTGGTGCGTTTCCACAAATATAGAAGATCAGAAGTGTCGATGGTTAAGAGAAGCGTCCTTTGTATATGGTATCGAACCCATTATATCATGCGTTCAGGAATCCAATAGAAGTTCTTGTCTCAAAGCAATTAGAGATCAACGTGCTGATATATTCGTGAGCAAACCCGAGGAACGTCTCGAAGTTAGCAAGTGAGAAGAGATATTTGAATATGTGAATATAATACGAAAAGAATAATATCCCTATAGTACTTAGATCATTGTTTTAGAATGGGATTGAAACCTATATTGCAAGTAACATCAAATAAAAAAAAGGATTACAATAGAATCGTGGCAATCGTTAAAAGTAATTCCTCATTTAAAAGTTTTAAGGATTTGAAAGGAGCTAAAGCCTGTTTTACGGGATATGAAAGTATAGGTATAATGCATCTAATATTATATAGAAATATATTATTATTATCTTAAGAGAGATTTTTGTTTTGTTTTTTTTTTTAAACTTTCGAAGATAAAATCGTACGAATTATTACAGGTTGGAATTCATTCGTAACAATAATGAAAAACATATCGGAGGATAATTGGGATTGTTCGAGTATTAAAGCTGTTGGAAATTTTTTTGGTGATAGTTGTGTACCTGGAATATCATCTATTAAAAATATAGATGTTCCATATAATTTGTATTCCTTGTGTACAACAGGTAAGACATGTTTATTTGCTTTATATTATATATAATATATATATATAAATAAAAAAATAACTAATATAAAAATATAGTTACATCCACATACATAAGATGTGTGTTGTAATGATAGAAAAAAAACAAAGAGAGAGAGAAATATAATAGACGTATTTAAAAACTTGTTCTTTTTTTTTTTAGATGTGAATGTTGATGACGATATTAATACGTTATCTTGTCTAACATCTGATCGTGCCGACGTCGTTTTCGTAAATTTAAAAAATATACAAAAAGAGATCAATATATCAAATACAGTATCGTCAAATTTAGCAAACGGAAAGTATAAAATTTTGTGTATAAAAGAAATAGAAACGGCGAAAGAAGAAGAAGAAATGTGTTCATTAACATGGACTACACTTGGCGCGGTAATTCAATTATTCAATATTTAAATCTAAAATAAAATAACTGTGATTTTTAGCAATTATATGAATAATAATAATAACAATAATAATAATAACAATAATAATAATAATAATAATAATAATAATAATAATAATAATAATAATAATAATAATAATAATAATAATAATAATAATAATAATTATAATATAGATTTTTTTTTTTTAATTGATTTTCTGACAAATTTACAATCAAACAAATATTTCATATATTACATCGTTGCATATATATCTATATCTGTATATGTATATATATATATATAAATGTATATCTTTCTTTTTTCTTAGATAGTAGCGCATAAAAATATTACCGATTTGAGACATAATGATATTTATTCGACGTTACTTAGTATGGATCAATTATTTGGAACAAGTGTGAGGGGATATACTAAAGCTTTCTCTTTATACGGAACATACGATAATCATAAAAACGTTATCTTTCCAGTAAGTAGTAAAAAAAGATTTTTTTTTAATTTAATCCTTAATTAGAACCTCACAAGATATGTCGATTGAGCGTAAAGTAAGCAAAATATCATCTTATTTATTTAATAGATCATCTGATATTAATTCGATGGATTTTATTTAGATATCTCGCACATGCAATCGAGCGGACGATTTAAATCTGTTATCTCTTCAAGAAATTTATCGCACTTATTACATCCATAATAAATGTAACCATTTCGACAACAGGCCCATGGAAAATGTAAAGACTTAAATGAGACCGATGGTTCCCCTTTATTATTCAACGCTATAACTCCTATTTCTGATTCACCTGTTTCTCTTCGAAACTTTTCCAACTCGTCGTTTATTTCCAACATCATCGTGGTCTTCGAATTAAATCTTTTAACGATCTTACGTGCTGGTGCATAACGATAGATCGTTTTATCATTACCCGAAAGTGAACAACAACCGTTTTCATCAGCGTAAATTCCACAACCAATAACGGTACCGATCGCACTAATGCTTCCCATCGTTTTTATGGTTCCTTCCATCGTTGAAATTCCACTTGACAAACGTTTCTTTCGATCGTAAGCAACCGCACCCACCGTGTGAGCCTTTTTATTTATTTTTTTTTTTGTAATAAAGTATCTACATTTAATTTCTTTTATAATATTAAAAATAATTTAACAAATTCGCGACTCTTCTGTTTCTTTTTTTCTTTTTTTTTTTTTTTCACTTTAAGAATAAAATTTATATATATATATATATATATATATATATATATATAAAAAAGAAAAAATAAATTATACGACAATTATAAATAATTAAGATAAAAAGATAAGAAAGATATAAATTTTATTGCAAACCTCGTGAAATAGTAGGATGTCATTTAATTCTGTCAATTTTTCGTCTTCATCCTTTATCTCTATATCTTCCATTTCTAAGAAATTACATTCTGGAAAATACATTTTGATAATAGACGTATCTTTTTCCTTTTGTTTAATGTCATTTACACAATTGATAGATAAATCATCATTAGAATCGTTATTGGAGGATATATCAAAATGTTCTTCTTCGGAAATCGTTTCACCGATAAAAAGAATAGAATCGGTTAATTGTTTCAATAACATAGGAAAATTAGCTTCTTTTGCCAATTTTGTAGCACCATTTTCTACAATGAGCACGTGATCTGTATTTTCTAAGACTTCTCTTGCTACATAATAATAAACAGATTTATTTTTTTTTTATATTCCTTTCTCTCTCTCTCTCTCTCTCTCTCTCTCTCTCTCTCTCTTATTATTAATTATCATAAAACGTATTGTTATGACTTAATTTACCTAGCTTAATAGGATGTTCAATGCCGTGAATTAAACCTATAGAACCAGCATCAAGATTATTAGTCATTATTCCTGCATCCCAAACAATTTCATCATTAGTATGCATGGGTGCTTCCTTCGTATAATTTAAGTACAATGTATCTTCCATCCGTGAAATTGCTGTCTCTATTGCATCAACAGCCGTATATCCATCGATAAGAATTTTATATCCCTCCAATGCAGCATTTTTAACCTACATTTATAAAAAATACTTTTTACCTTCAATCCTATTTCACAAAAAAAAAAAAAATATATATATATTTGATATTATTATTATTATTATTCTATAATAATAATATTTTTTTAAATAAAAAATTTGAATTATAAAATACGGTATTATACCGCTTCGAGCATTAATTTTCGTTTTTTTTTTGATATTCTTCCTGCACCACCGTGAACTATAATGGTAGGATCAACGCGTGGTTTTGGTATACTTTCTTGGATTAGTTTTTCTTCGATATTTACTCTTGCTAAAATTTGTTCTATCCAAGAACAATAATCACACATTTTGCTTTTTATAAAATTTAAAAATATTACACATGCAAAAAAATATTTCCAGTGTTAATAATAATAATAATAATATAAGCTCGCTGATACATTATTCCATTGTAGAGAAAATAAATTTCACATTATTTAAGTTTATGATATAAAATGAGATTACACCAAAATTTCTTTTTTTATAGGAAGAATCACAACATCTACAACGTGAAGTTAATAAGATACGACGAATTCGAAATTACGATGACATTGTAGAAGAAATAATGATAAAACCGATTTGCAACAGTGCACAGAATTGGAGTTCAGGTTTTGATAAAATTAATTTATTAGGATTATTAATTTTAATTGCACTTTTTACCTTATATTAATTATAAAATTTAAATGAACATCACAATACATCTATTCTCTATGAAGTTAAGCTTCATAAATATAAATACTATATATACATACACACACAACATACATATAATTAGATAAAAAATGGATATTACGTGTATATTATTTTTTCATTTTATTTACAATTTATATAAAATCTCCTATAGTGCAATATACACTCAAACCTTGTTTAAAATATTTTAAGAACGTATTCAAATAATTATGAGATTCAAAGTAGTATAGTAATAATTGTTGCAATAAATTACTTGCTTGGATTGTCTTTTTTGAAAAATACTTATTAAATAATTATTAATGGAATATATAATTAACACAAGACCGTTGAACAATGGTCATAAATATCTCAAATGACTGATATATTAATATACTTTTTTGCTGTATTTATTATTTATTATCTCATAACTATTATAAAAGTGTAATATAGTTCAAAAACGAATGTAATTCTTTTTCAAATTCAGCTTTTTCAGAACAATAAGATTCCTTTTTTAATTTGTACACTAACACAGTACCAAGGTTTGTTCCAAGTATCTGAAAAAATTTTTATATATTTATATAGCGACAATTTTATTACTGATGCACATGATGTAATGATATTAGCTTTATTACATACCAAATATTGGGTAACCTTATCATGTTCAGTTTTCCAAGAACATAATTGCATACAATTTATATGTCCCCATTTTGTTAAAGAAGAATTACTTACATAATGCATTTCATTATTTTGCAAATTACATGTATATATTCTGAAATATTATTGTTATATTAAGAATTATTCTATAAGAAAATAATAACACACACACTCATACATTCCTTTTTTATTTTATAAACTTACTGTGATTTATTATTTAAAATATAAACTGTTGATGGCTTAGATCTCGACCATTTCAATACTATAATTTTATTTTTATGATTATCATGTTGTAACTGTAAGATAGGTTTTTCTCTGTTCGATGAATAAAGAAGTATTGTACCATCATTACAACCAACCTAATATAAACAATTCAAAATATATTATATACATGAAATAAAATTATATATTAATATATAAAGATCTTACCAAGAAATAAGATGCTTTGAAGGGACATATTTCAATACATGATGTATTTCCACATGGAGCTAAAATATTTCATTTCATTATTTCAATGTACTTATTGAAATTACATTGAAAATGTACTTATTGAAATTACATTGAAAATTTCAATGCAAAAATAAGCTTACCTATTTTGTGTCGTTTGTACACTGAAGGATTTACTCTGCAATTGAGGCAAGTACTATGCAATATTTCATTAGCATCAGTTGCAACAAAAAGACCATTAGAATCTATATTATCTATATGCATGTCAATAATTGTACCATTGTCATTTAATTGTATAGACATGTCTTGACTTTTAATTAGCCTTATATTACCCCACTGACTAAGGCCTAAATCATTGACATTTGACTCCAAATTATAGAACACACTCCAAATTATAATATTACCATTTTCATCTATGCTACATAGCTGTTAAATTAATATAGAATAATAAATAATAATAATTGTTATAATAAAATTATATGTTTAAAGAAATTCTTATTTAATTGTTATATATAATATATAACGACTTAAATATAAAAACAAATATATTAAAAAAAAAAAAAGAAGAAAAAAATTGTTCATTTACCTGTATAGGTATGAATTTGTTTTTACTCATTTCTGTATATACTTTTTCTGTTTTAGACAAAGTACGTATTGCAACTATCTTCGAGTTATGTGTTGAAATTTCTGGATTTCCTGTTGTTGTATATGTCGGTATTCTTATAATCCAATCGTTATCATTAATATTATTAGCCACTTTGTGATGCCATATTTCATTTTCTTTCAAATCCCAAAGACTTATGGATCTAATATAAAAATATATAATTTAAATGAAATATAAAATCATATAATAACATAGCAAATAATGTCTATAAGAAATGAAAATACCCATCCTCTAATCCTGCAAATACAATGTTGTAGTTGGTTGGATGAAAACAACATGCAGTAATAGGAGATGTAGAATAAAATAATTTTGTTGGTAAAGATGGTTCACAAATATTCCATACGCATCCAATGCAATAATCCGTAATATCTTTTTGATTGTGTACTGTTTCAATTTCCTAATATATTATAAAAAAAAGAGTAATAATCAATCAGATATGTATATACATAAAATTTATATGTATACTTACATCATCATAGGGAGCATGAATAGTTAATAAAACTTTATTTAAGCTTTCCGAATAATTTATCATTGTTACTTCTCTACCAGCAAGGAATGTTATTGAGTTTATATCAAATTTAACGAAACCATCACTTTCAGATATTTCTTGAACATCATTTTGAAAAATAGTCCCACCAAACTTTTTTTCTTCTAATAATGATAATATAACAGTGGCAGCACGACGTACAAAATCATTTAATTGCAATATATCAAAAGATGGCTTTGTTATAACTTCTCCTAGATTGATATTATCATCACTACCAACACCAATTTGTTCCTATAATTAATATATGTAGTATAAATTTTGTAATATTACAGAACTCTATCTACAAATTATTATTCGTACCATAGCAAATAAATTTATATTTCCATTTCTATAATTTTTACAACTTATCGGAAATTGTGTCCATTTATTAACATTACATATTTCAATCGTCTGTGTTTCAGCTTCTGATCTATCGTCGCCGGTTTGCGTATACATCTATATAAAATATTAATATTTATACATTGAGATTATCTTTATAGTATTTATGACATGACATATCATGTCGGTCTTATATGAATTTCCATTAATATACCTGTTGAGTATGTAATTTTCCATAATTTCTAATAAATTCCTCATATGGTACTGGTGCACATTCCAATAAAGAAAATGTTAAAGTATTCAATTTTATCATAGTTAATAGCTGTTTTCCTCTGCTCTTTAATTTTATTAACTTTTCAGTAGTAATTAGCTATTATTATAATTAATTATAGTTTACTATAACGAAATATAATTATATAAACATTTAATATATTAATAAAGCACAATACCTTTTTACTACTATTATCTTTAGTTTTAGAAAAGTCTATCAATGCAACTTGTGAAAGAGATGGTAACTTTGTAAAATCACCAGATCTAGTGTCTTCGAAGCCCTCATCCATGGACAATGGCAATGATTTGTTTTCAAATAATTTATCCTCACTATTCAAATGAATATGTAAATAATAAAATAAGAAGTTAAAGATTTCGTTTTTCTTTCTTATTTTAAATTTATATTATATATTATTATTATTCAAAAAAAAAAAAAAAAAAAGAAAAGTATTCTCTACAAAAGGAAGCATATATCTCACATTAAATATGCTATCATAAAACAAATTATCAATGTAAAAGATTAATAATTTCTTTTCTGAAGAATAAATTTTAAGAATATAACAAACCTATACTCTTTATTTGTTTCTTGGAGATCTGATAATGGTAATGGTATATTAAGTCCTTTTGTAATCATTGTTTCTATTATCATTGCTCTTCTTTTTGCTTCGGCTAATTCATAATGACCAGAATCATGCATATCTTCTTCTTCCACTTTATGATTGTTTGCATTATGTACCACTTTTTGCTGGAATAAAATGTAATTGAAAATAAAATAAGTATTATTGTTTTATATTTATTCTATATAACAAAAAAAAATTGATAATATTACTTGCTCTTTAGTGGAAAGTTCAATTGGACTTTGATATAAATTAATTTCATTTTCACTTGAACTCTCACTGGCCTCTAATATCTCGTCATCTGTGCATTCTTCAAAATCTGATTCATATTCCTGAAATAAAAAAATAAATTATTCTCTATAACATTTACTATATGCTAGATAATATATAGTATACCTCAAAATCATCTGCATAATAATTGTCATCGTGTTTATTTGGATTAGTATTTTCTTGTTTAGTTATTACATTCGTTGTTATTTCCTTTTTCTTAGGCACTTCTTGTTTAGAATTGTTTTTACGCATAAGTGAATGTAATACTTTTACTTCTTCTGAACTTAATGTTCTAGAGTTTCTCCGTATTTTAGATTGTGGATCACTTTTATTTGTTGATACAGAATTACTTGATCTTGTTTTATTTGTAACTTCTTTTATCGTTTCCTTTTTTCCCTTAGAACTATTACCAATTAAATTTGACTTTGGTATATATATGGTACTCAATCCTCTTTTTTCAGAATATGTACTTTGATGCTTTTTTGAAGGCTTCGTATCTGTACTATGAGCTAAATGACTTTTTTTCACACTACTATCTCGTACCTTATCGCTCGTTATATTTCTTTCCGATGTACTTGACATAGACAAAGATTTTGAATTATTAGATTTTGATGCGACTATTCTATTTGATACATGTCTATTCATCGAAACTTCTTTTTGAGGAATACCAGGCTTCTTTTGTTTGAAAGAACTCCCTGATGCATAACCACTTGAGGAAGTCTGAGGAAGTTCAAGCTGTTGTTCATCATTGGTTTTTCTACGACTATTGAGCTTTTGTGACTTTGAATACCCATGAGTTTCAACTTTAGTTGTTCCCTATAATTATATTATGACATTGAATAAAATGAAAAATTAAAATTTATTAAAATTAAATATGACACAGTCATCATTATTTACTTCTTAATTAAATAAAATTTCAAATTAATTTTCAATAAGTGACATAACCTAATTGTGTAGTGGTTATTAATTTATACGAACGTACAGTGATATATGTATATGAAAATAGTGCGTGCACAAAAATGCGTGCATATAATAAGGAAAAAGCACTTAGTAGTTTTTCATTAATTGATATAATATAACTACACCAAGATCGTAATGTAGAATCTTGCCTTTTTAGACATATTGCTATTAACCAATCAATAACAATTAAAGATTGTCAATACATTCACTGGGATTGTTTTCACGTGATATTAACAGATGTCGCTCAAACTAAATACAACGCAAATTTAAATACATTTAAAACAAGTTATTTTTATAAGGATCGTTGCAAGACTGCTTTCATTGGAATGTTTTTTTTTTTTTTACATTGATATAGTTGTTACCTATAAATATACACAGGATTAAACAAGACCTTCAATATATTTATTGCAAGTAAAAGTTACTCAAATAAATACCGGTTATTTTCTACAATGACTTTTTATCGTTTGTTGATACAATGGTGTATCATAGCGACGTATCCTCACACACGGAATAAAATATCACACATATAAAAATCAAATTGAATATATAAAAATTCTCTTCTTTGTTTTGTTGTTTGATTAGTTTTGTTTCGAAATTATATTTATTGTTTCCTTTTTTATATATAAATATATAACTAAATTCTATGTAATTTTTTCAAAATATCTCCGAGTGATTTTAAGAAATAATATAAAACGATATAAAAACGATCATGACTAAATCTAAAAGACAAAATAGGTAAATTGATATTATATATATGTATATATATATATGCATATGTAGGTGCAACACGATTCTAACCTCGAAATAGATGTATGTAGATCTAGAAATGGTATTCGCTAATTTTGTATAAACAATAAATTATATTCATATAATGATATAAATATTTATACAGCTTATCGAAATACACAGATAATGATAGAAAACAAATTGGCCGTCATTGGAATCAAAGAACAACGATTTTTGATCTTGTATACAAATATTTGAGTAAAATTGCAGATAATTATACGAAATACAAGCATCATAATAGTGCGTACATTCAATTTCGTAGAAAAAATCGACGAAAAACAACAATCAAAAAATCGTATTTTACTAACATACACGAAAATCCATAAAAATCTATAAATGATTGAAATAAACTCGATTGTTCTATTAAACAGCGAACAAATATATAGAATATATGCAAAGATAACAAAATGATTTCAAAATTATTATATAAATAATTAAATATTCATTTATTTTATAATAAAAGATAAATATTTTTTAATGGCCTCAATATAAAGTTTTAAAAATAAATATATTAATTATTATTACGTGATATTATATTATCATTAATTATATTAATTAATAATTATTAATATAAAAAAAAAAATGTTAGAAAATGTGTTTAGAAAATGCTGAAAAAATTTTATTTGATTTAATTGAAAAAAAATAAATAAATAAATAAAATAAAAAAAAAAGTACTTTCGTTGAAAATTTAATAGAATGTTTCATTAATTATTATCGCTTATTTTGTTTTTCGCATTCGCGACGGCATCGTTGTATCCATTTTTTTAATTCCATCTCGTGGGATTTAGATGTTTCAGGGATCGAGCTTTTTAATTCTTGAAATACACTGTCGTGAGACTGATCATTGGATTGATTATTTGGTGCAATATTAATATTCTGATATCTCTCTATATTACTAAATGTTTCAATAGCAGCGTCGTCCATTTGACGCATACGCTTTGATGGAGGCTCGTGAAGAGAAGATCCAATATCATTAGAATCATCATGAACTTTACGAATAGATTTTTCATGCCGATCCTCGTAAGATATTAATTTTTTAGAATTGTTTTCTTTTTGTTTCATCGTCGTCTTTTCTATTTCAGGATATTTATTGGAATTATTTTCCTTCATCTTTGATCTCAATGATTTACGCGTAGGTGTTTGAAGTATCGTATCGTTTAAATGATAATTCATTCGCGAAGAAGGCGAAATATCCTCTTTCCTTTCCTTCTTATCATTTCTTTCTAATTTCGTTTTTTCGTTTAATTTTTCACAAAGACAATGCGATCTCTCTTTATGTTTCTTACGAAACGTTCTTTTCAATTTGGAATATTTTGGTGTACTAAAATATATCTTTGCGTCATTTTTTTGACAGTCACAACTTTCCAACATTTCTTCGGTACGAAATGGACCGATCAATTGATACTCATCGTTCAATACTTCAATAACGAATCTGTTAAAGATCAAATGTAAATATCATCCAATATATTTCTATAAAAAATATATATATAATATTTATAAGATATATATAATATAATCTATGAAATTATTTAATCTATATATTTAAATGAGTACTAACCCTTCGGTGCAAAGTTGTTTTAAGGCTGTTCGAACCTGAGCATAGAGATCTCCGTCGTTATTATAATTATTCGCTATGTAATCGACGATTTCATTCACAGACGATATCGGTAAAACGTTTTCGTGTCTCTGAAGAGAACGCATCGCTTCAATAACACGTAAAGAAAATCTACTTGAATTTTCTACGGCGTATTTACATTTGTAATATTTCTAAAAAGCAAAGAGATGAAATTATAATCTAACATTGATGCGATAAAAATGTGAACAATTTTTTTTTACTTACGTATTATTTTAGATACGTTAAAATAATTATTCATTGAAGAGAAGAAAAATTCAAATAGTTAGGATTAAAAATTAAATATGAATAGATAAATACTTTGTGCGATGATGTATCGTCCTTTTTCGTCCTTTTCTCAACCTCTTCTTTTTTTAATTCTTTCTCTTTTTTTTGATCCTTTTGATCTTTTTGTTCTACTCGATCATCTTCATCTTTATCATCTTCTTGATCTTCCTGTTCCATTTCTCCTTCTTCTTCTTCTTCTTCTTCTTCTTCTTTTTCATCCGATGTTCTGTTATATCTTCCATTATACTCCATTAGAGATTTAATTCTTTTCCCACGAAGGTATAAGGAAATTGGCGTGAAAGAAAGAAAAAAAAATAATATGAAACGCAGTATAAATTGAACATATTCATATGTTTATTCAAATTTCGATATATCGTATATCTTCATGGTAAAGTTTAGAAAAAAAAAAAAAAAATAAAAAAAAAAGAAAAGAAAAGAGAAGAAAAAAGTAATTTAATTAAATATTATATATAATATATATTAATATTAGAGACAGTAGAAATAGTTTTGTCAGACACTTTACCTATTTTTTCATGCATGTCATTATAAGCGAAATCGTGTGAACGTTTACCCTTCCTTTTAGTTTCATTGGCTGTTATTTATAAACTGTACACAATATTGATTCATAATTTAAATAACATTGCGTCTATTACAGAGTAAACGAACATAGGAATAACGAATGTGCAATATGTAGAAAGGAAAACGTTCTTAAAATATTAATGGTAAATAGCTGCAATTGTGTAGTTCTATAGTTATCTCCCCCTCCCCTTCTCTCTCTCTCTTTTTATTTTTCTTTTTCTTTTTAAATATTGTAAGAGTGTAATGTTTTGTCTTTCAAAATTGTTAGAAAAATTAAATGATGAATGAAATTTTGTCCATTTTTTACTTTGAGTAATAATTTAGTTATTATCGATAGTTGGACATTTCGATAATAACAAAATTTATAAATTATTTCTATACTGTTTCTATTCCTATATATATATATAGGAAAATTCCGTTTCGAAAAAGGTCAAAATCGTTAGAATAATGAAATAATGAATGAAATCCTGTATATTTTTACTATGAGTAATAATTTATAAATTTAGTTATCGGTAGTTGGAAGCTTTCGATAAATCGGATTTGATAAATAGAATTCAAGGGAAATCGAGTTTTACTCCACATTGGCAGTTATAAATCATCGGTCTTACTACTACGCAAGTAGATAGTAGATTACAAATATAAATTGTTCGTAGATGAGGTGAAGAATTTGTTTCTATGACGTCGTTCCTCATTCTTCTGACAGCATTATCGGACGAAGACTTCGATCGCGAGTTTAAAAATAAAAGAAAAAGAAAAAAAAAAAGAAAAAAAAGAAGAGAAAGTGACGACTGGAATCTTTCTAATATCTAAAATATATGTACAATATCTATGTATAAATATATGTAAAATATATGAAACAATGGACGATATTATGATAAAACGACGTTAGGAACGAGCGTAGACGAAATAATTATAATTATTAAAGAAACTCTAAGATATACACGGGTTTAATTTGTAATATTGTAAAATTTCTAATTAAAGGAAAAAAGAAAAAAATCCTAAATATGTGAAAACGTTTTTATGTTTGTGATATTGTTAATTAACTATAATTAACGAACTAACGAATTCATCGAGTGAATCGCATTTCCAAATGGTAAATGGATGTTATAGTTATTATCATACTATATAACATTATATATGTACATATATAAAAATAGTTGGCGAAGTAAGAGAAAGTTTAATCGGAACTTCCGGAAATGAGGCAAGGCGCCCTCGTGACGACTTGATGAGATAACTTCGTCCAAGTTGTGAAACAACAACGGCGATCACGATTCGTGACTTCGTGCGAGGGTGAAAGGAATCCGTGCCCTCGGTGGAAGGAAGGGAGGTAGAGGGGATGTAAATAAGGGGTTAAGCACGCAAGGATGCTTAATAGGGATGTCGTCGTCGTCCTTCTCTTCCTCCTTTACTTCCTACTCTTTCTCATTCTCATTCTCCTTCCCTTTCTTCTTCTCCTTCTTTTAGTCGCCATTTTCTTTCTTCGGTCTAACGAAGATTTATCAATTTTAACAATAGTATTTAACAAACTTCAAATGTGTTTTAAACAATGACAGAGAAAGATCACGAATTTATATATATAACATATGGATACGCGTAAAAATACACACACACACACACACACACATATATATATATGTCTATAAATACGTTGTATCTCGAATAATCGGGGAGGGTTTGTGTGTTAAATTGCAAGGAGAAAAAAAAAGAAAATAAGAAGAAAAAAAAGAAAAGAGAAAGAAGAAAAATCGAAAAGAATATTATATTCATTATTCTTAGATTATTTAAAATTAATATGAATAGATCTGAAAATAAGTGAAATAACGCTATTTAGTATCGGGACATCTAATTCGTTGGAAAAGGGTGATGCGCGCGGCCAGTAGTGTCATGTGGTCTTGATCTCACGGTGCCGCGATTACGTGTGCCTATCGTAGAAGCAATCGTTATATGCTAACACGCATCCGACCTTTTTCGCAAAGCACGTAAACGTCCATTTTCTTCTTTTTTTTTCCTTTTACTTCTTTTTTTCTTTTCTTTTTTTTTCCACCCTCTATATACAACACTTCCTTCTACCGATTCCATCTTCTTTAAATTATCATTACTACATTGGCGGACAGAGGTCGGGGGTTTGGGAGGTAAGGTCGAAGATAGACATTGTATTACGTTGCTCCGTTAAATACTAATTACCGTTACGTTGGCACGAGCTATACGGGTGTATAGGGGTGAGAGAGACGGAGGGCGGTTGGTTGTTTCTTCGACGTCTTGTGCGAACTCGAACACCTGTCGTTGACCATGCCATCAAACGTATCTGCTGACGAATGAGCTATGCGATATTTGGTGTCCTTTAATCGACAGCCCGTTAACAATTTCTACATCATAACGAGCTGACCTTTTCGTCAAATATGCCGAGACTCATTAGTGAATACGATCTTCTTCTTTTTTCTTTTTCTTTCCAAATTTACTTTCAAATCGTTAAACATATTTTCTAAACACTGTACACCTCTTATTCATTAATTTTATCAAATAATATCATTAAGATAGATTCATTCTATTGTTAATATATATTAAGAAGTAATGGATACAACAATAATAACAACAATAACAACAACAATGAAAAAAAGAAGTAATAAAATATACGAAAAGGTCAAAGAACGCGAATATTATTCCTATTTCCGTTTAACCCTTGAACAAAGTCCATCGATCTCCTGGCCATTAATCATTGGACATAAGGTAATTACAGAGCCGAACAAGTGCAATATTTTATGAGATCGACTTGTACGGAGGGGGCGGGGGTGGAGAGTTCGGATAGGGATAATATCGGGTCTGTACATCCGTCTAATTTGCTTTATAATAATTATGAACATATGAAACATTCGCAGGAAACATGGAAGTGTCAGGTGCTCGCTGTCCCACAACATTGAAAGCGGCCATTCGTATATGCATTACCGTAGGATGAACGATCGTAAGGAAGTTAATGTTTTCTGTCGTTTATATAGACAGATATTCAGATGAAATCCTAGAAAATCGTACGAAAATAAAAAAAAAAAAAAAACAGAAAAAGAAAAGAAAAACAAAAACGAGCGAATACGTAAGTACATACAAATGTAACTATTTACATATATAATTGAGTATCTAGATTTATTTTTGAAAACAATGATAAAAATTTCAATGTTCAACTCTTTGATTTTCTTTTTTTTGTTTTTATTTTTTAATAGAGATATCATTGTTTAAATAATTCATCTTGTTATATATAAGTATGATCATTCGCAAAAAAAGAAAAAAAAAAAAATTAAGGTCCGATTGATATTCAATATGGTATGTTCGAATTAATGTACTCCATTCGATCATAAAGTCACTATAATCGTTGGCTTATTACAAATATGCTCTCATACATAGATACATACATACATACATACATATATATATATATATTGAGATTAAGGTCGTGATATTTACTCATGAGCACGTATGATCATTAATTGTAAGAACGACGGACGGATCTGGTGATTGGTCACTTTCAAAGGTTGACCATTTAAAAAGCTTTTGTCGCTGGTCACCCATGACTACCCGATGGGCGGAACGAATATGATCTTGAGAAGTACGCATGCTCTTTAGGGCGGGAAGAAAGGTAACGTCGACGAATGAAAAGTTTCCTGGAAGAGGAGAAATGTAATAATCGTAGAACACGTGATATTAGAAAAGCTCTATCATAACCGACCTGTTAACTCGAAAACTGTTTTACTACGTTGGAGGAGTATCTTGAGTGCCTTACCTAATAACTTGTGTGATAGTCCTCTTTAAAATGTCAATTCGCGTTATGTCTTAACGTTTCATTGAAATTTTTTCGATGATTGATACAATGACACATCAATCGAAAAAGGAAAGATAAGAAAAAGAAAAGAAAAAAGAAAGATAATCATAATTATCGCAAAACAAATTAATCGAACAAATGAGAAATCATTTTTAACGATGATCCTTTTGTTGTAAATATACAAAAAAAAAAAAAAAAGAAGATGTTCGATTTGCGACGAATTAAATATTATCCAATCTATCGTCTTGATATAATGATGTTTTGAAGAAAGAAGAAAAAAGAAAGGACGACATACGTAATATAATTGATTTGTGCAACGTACGATATTATTGAGTTTTTTTTACGTCGATTGTTTTTCTAAAAAAGGGAAAAGAAAATGTGAAGAAAAGAAAAAGAAAAAAAGAAAGGACAATACGTTCGAAGAAAAGAAAGAATAAATCAATCCGACGTGGCTCGCGTAACTCGTTTTTTTTTTTTTAAGACCACCATGAATGTAAATCAAGAAAAAGAGGAAGAATCTTCTAAGATCGATCAAAATAATAATGTCGTACTGATCGCACATTGAAACGTTTTGAATGTATTCTCTAAAAAAAAAATGGCCTCTCATATACATACGCAAACAATTTGTTCTGAAAACACAATGACTGGAGCAGTTTCTACGTTACAATTACTGAGAAGTTATAGATTTCTTGCTCCGAATTCAGGTGCGTATAGAAAATGATGTGTTTTAAATCTATTGTGAATGTCATACGCATATATATACACGCTTACATAACGCATATGTAAATAGATACATACGTATACATATATATGTGTATATATATATATGTGTATATATATATGTGTATATATATATATGTGTATGTATATAAATAATAAACAATTCGACACATGTAAAATAAAATGAATAATAAAATATAACGTTGTTCGAAAATGGCTTATCAATAATGATCACGTTGCTTTTATGATAAGAATCATGTAAAAGACAATTCTTTGTGTGTGACATGAACTATGATTAAAACCTTATGAAAACACGCAACATCGATGATATGCCAGATTATGAGTTATTCATAGCTGGTATGAAAATAAACAATAATCAACATTCTAATGTTTAAAATTTTTGAAATCAAAATTCATTCGATTTTAATTTACATTAGAATTAATTTCTTACGGAAATCTCCTGCTAAATTAATGACAATCATAAAATTATATATTCAACAAGTTAACAAGAGTTAAACAATGTAGAGTAATACGTATGTATGTATATAAATATTAAAATGTAAAAACTTTTATAGTATATATTACGGTTTAGAGAAAGAGAAACAGAGAAAGGGAGAAAGAAAGAGAGAGAGAGAGAGAGAGAAAGAAAAAAAAAGTGAATTATACCCCTGGTGGGACTCGAACCCACAATCCCCGGTTTAGGAGACCGATGCCTTATCCATTAGGCCACAGGGGCGACTTGTTTAAAATATCTTAAATTAATAATAATAACATCATTCGATTGGCTATAGATTTTTTTTAAAGTGATTTATTATTATTAGATTCTAAGAAAAGAAAAGAAAAAGAAAAAGATAGAAAAGAAATTATAAAAAAAATTTCTCATAAGGCATATGTCTCGGTGACTCGAATAAAAATTCTATTTTTTTTTTTTTATATTTGCGCTTACAGATATATATAGATACGAGCCGTATACTCCTACTCAACATTGTAAATTTAACGAAACAAATATATTGTCCAATTCAACGTCAATAGAATCGTCATTGACGCCATCGTTGACGACAACTGCTTCTCTTTCTGGAACATTGCCAATTCCTAGTGGTTTTCTAGTGCAATCTCCTTTTTTCACAACTATGACACCGTTAATGCCATCGTTAAATATACCTCGACGATATTCGGATTTAATAGATTCTGGTAAGTTATATATTATGCCCAATGAATATTTATTATTAATTCATTATTCCGTGAAATCTGTCTCATTTTGTTTTTCCTTTCTTTTTTTATTTTTATTTTTTATTTGTTAATTTTTTTTTTTTTTTTTTTTATCTTTTTTTTATGGTCTCACAATCAAAACGTATTGTTTCGTTTCTGCAAATAACACAGTCAGATTTCTTATAATTTATAACGCAGATACGATTATGAATCGACAGTTTATCAACGATAATAATACACAGAGTATCATTAGACGACCTAGAAGCGAGAAAAAGCCTATTCCGGATGATCAAAAAGATGAAAAGTATTATGAAAGACGTAAACGTAATAATCAGGCCGCAAAGAAATCTCGAGACGCACGAAAAATTCGTGAAGATCATGTAAGATCGAATTCATTATTTTGAATTTCATTTCAAAGTTGATTTACGTACGCTTGGAAAAGTTCAAAGAAAAGATCCTCCCTATAAATATATTTTTCATTCGACGATATTATTCTTTTTTCTTTTTTTTTTTTTAATCATTAAGAACTATTGAAATTTTTTTTTATCACGACAAATTTGATCACACGTCATCGTTACTTTATCGAATAAAAGTATTAAAAATCGGCTTAAAAGTGAGGAGTGATTTTTATTTTTTTTTAATTTTTGGCACCGCAAATATCATACAAAACGAAACAAAAAAAAGAATAACTCCAAGAAAACGACGAATTATTTCAATTTTCCTTTTTTTCTTTTCTTTTTTTTTTTTTTTTTTTTTATATCGGAAAATATTCCTCGAAGAACTCGATTATAGCGCGTGTTTAATGACTTTTTTTTTTTTTCTTAACAAGATAAATCAAAAATATTAATGTCTTTATTTTTGAACGATCCAAATGTGTATGTAAAACTCCTTAATCGATTAATACTTTACACAACATATTCCCCACCCCTCCATCATTCAATTATTTTTCGTAGATCGCTTTAAAGGCAACAATGTTAGAACACGAAAATGCTATTTTACGAGCGCAGGTGGTGACCCTTCGAGAGGAAGCTCAATCGCTTCGACATATGTTGCTAAAGCAGCAACAAGCAACTAGGACACAGTCCATCGAACGTTCTGTATCTTCATTGACGTCAGTAACACGATCATCGATGCGATCTCTCTCTACATTGGATTGCGAACTATAAAAGGGGGAAAAGGTCTTTAATTGATTAAATAAAGACAAACTAACTACTTCCACCATAATTTCTAATCTCCCACCGATCTCCCAAGATTCTTTGTAAATTAATTAAGATAACAGAACGGAACGGAATGAATTATAATAATAATATAACATGCTAATATGCGTAATATACGTGAACAAAATGTTTGTTCGTTCTCTAAGATCTGAAGTAAAGAAAAAAAAAAAAGAAAGAAAAGAAAAAAATGAAAAGAAAGAAAAAGGATAAAACATTTCAATTTATGATTACAAAAATGTATCCAGGTATATAAACAAGACAGAATTTTTTTTTATCGTATCACATTATCAATGTAACTTTGTGATTGTTACAAAAACGAAATGTACATTTTTTTTGTTCTCGTGTTAAATATTTTTTACTCGTTATATCTTTTTTATAAACTCTATGTTTTTTATAAGTAACAGTAACGAATAATTTATTATTTTCTATTTTCATCTGTTTCATTATATATATATATATATATATAAAATGTGTATATATATATATATATATATATATATATATATATATATATATATATACATACATTATACATAGAAAGAAAGAAAGATTTATTAATATAATATTTGTGATATATAAATAAATTCTATTATATATATATATACATATATATATATATATATATATATATATATATATATATACAAACATAAACATTCATTAAAATATTTATCATACAAATTTACTTATACATCACAAATATATTAATAAAATGTTGGTATGAATACGAATTAAATTTTAAAAGATATTATAGAATATATTTAAACAGTTTCTTTGAAAGAAAAAGATCTCCAAATAGTCTTCTACGTATATATGTTATTTTATTTTAATAATTTTTATATGTAATTTTTTATATTTTTCTTACCTTTTCTTTCTTAGACGTGAACTTTCACAGTTGTTCGTAAGCAAACTAATGTACTACTTACGTACATTATATTATGTATATAGATTATTTATTGTCTGATAAGTATTGATATATAATGTATACGTCTAGATTCCAAATGATAATCATGTGACGATAAATAACTATATGTAATATTATTAAGTATCAATATATATTTAAAAATTTTGTTACTATTAAATTATTAACAATTTTCAATATATAATTTACCAATAGAATGTTGTCATAATTTGCACATCAAGATATAATCAAAGAAGCGTGTAATTTTTTTTACGTATGTATTTAATTGTATGCCGATAAAAAAGTGCCTTCAATCCAATTACTTTTCTTTTGCTTTTATAGTTCCTGCAATGATATATATATATATATATATATATATATATATATATATATATATATATATATACATATGCATATATATATATATATATGTATAGATATATGTGTTATGTACGTTCGTATCTATTTTTGTTAACACAATATTTACATTTTGACAAGATAAATTAATTAATATTCTGCGACACTCCAAAAGCACATAATAAAGAAGCAAATATTTTTTTTTCTATATTATCTCATTTTATTTTTATATTATCTTTTTATTATTTGTTACGATTATTTTTATTCGTTTATTGGCAATTCTGTCAGAATAATTGCAATAGTCTTGCCAACTTATAAATTAAACGTAGCGAAGGGATTTTTCTTACAAACGCAAATAACTTTTTTTCTACTGAAAGATTTATATATATACATATGTATACATATTATTATTAAAATATGTATGAAAAATTATATAATATATGTTAAATTACTTACTAATTATTAGTTATACGTTTGTTACTATAAATTCATATTTGCTATATATGTATAATATATATACGTATATATATTGTTACTTTCAAAACTGTTGGCAAACCTGTATACGTTCTTCCCATTTTACTCGAATGGATGGTTGTTTTTTGCCACGTTATGTTCTTCTTAAATATAAGGGAAAGAGTGAGAAAGAAATTAACATTTAATCATTATTGTTGATCTGATTTACAACTATTGTTGATCTTATTTACAAATAGATATCTTTCTTTATATCATGAAAATTTTCATAGTGGATCAAATTTCTTAGTGACGTTACATTTTGTGTAGTGTTGACGATCAAAAAAGAATTTCATCGCACGTTGTATATTATATTAAATATAACAATTACAATTCTTTTCATAATATTATTCAATAAAATTTCAATTTATTTAACGGGCGATTTGGCTTATTATAAATGGCATTTCAAGGTATCACTATAGTAGTAATTACAGTCGGTTTAGCAAGTTTATTATATTATTTTCTTGCCAATAACGGAAGACAAGAACAATCATATGGATATAGAAGTTCTGGAGGTCCCAATGGACCAGATATTAGAATGCCTCCTAATTTTTTCACTGCCAATTCACCATCAAACAAGTATTATTTTTATCAATTAATATAGGAATTAATATAGAAATAAAGTAATAAATGGCCTTATATGAATAACAAATGTGTTATTTTAAGAAAAAAGTATTATCATTTAATATTTATGAATTCTTTCTAGCGAACAACAAAATCAGTATCGGAAAAGACGATCAAAGAGACCATTTAAAGATGTCTGTACCATCTGCTTTCAAAATGTTTCAGATCAAGATAAAGTGCTTTTATGTGGTCATTGTTTTCATGAAAAATGTATTGAAGAATGGAGAACGCGAGGCCCAACGGTATATATCTATTTTAACTTTTGAATATAAAGAATAAGGTCTATTCATTTATTAGAACTCTAATAAATAATTGATTCTATCATATTTCTTTATATTAAATGTATTTATATTTATGATTTGAACAACTACCATTGATATTAACTAAATTTGCAAATGATCTACGTATTTTATAATTTAATATTTAATATTATAGGAATCACGTAATACTTGCCCTACCTGCAGGGAGAAGTATCAAACTACCTAGTGATATAAATGGATAATTCATTTTTTAATTGACACAAAAGTGTGATTATAAGTCATATTATAATTATTAATTTAGAAGAACAAAAAAGATTGGTTGCTTAAAAAGCAACCGTTGTTTAATCATTTAATAATTGAGTATAAAATATATTTAAGATTCTGTTCAATGTTGAATAATGAGTAACAAAATATCTTGTGATTAATATAAAACTTTTATAATATATAATCTAAAATTATTGTTGTCATCTTATCAAACAGTAAGATTTAAAAGATTTTCTTAACTTCACTTTATATTAGATTTTATTCATAAAAATTATATTAATAATTATTTATGTTAATATTTAGTGAAGATTGAAAGATATATTTTTTCATATACATTATAATAATGGCAATTTCGTACAGAATGAATCACTTAATACAGTGAAAAATATCTGAATATCTTTCAGTTTTAAAAATAAGAACAAACATTTCAAGTAAAAGATATTTTTCATCATCATATAATGAAAATTTTTTTCAACTGAAGATTTTTAGAAAAAATAAGTCATTTTCATTTTTCTTAAATAAAATCATACATTTGGAAACACTTACTGTTAATCGTTAAGATAGCGTATTATAATATAACATATATTATAACATAATTCAACATATTTACATTGCACAATTTTTTCTATCTTTAAAATTGCGAAAGATGGCCAGATAACTAGTAGCTTATTTTAAGTGACTCACTCTATATCCATTCTAAGAAAACGTATATAATTAATATTTTTAAATTTATTGCTGTCTTATGAAAAATATTTATAAAATTTACATCAAATTTTTAATTGTTTTATCTTTCTAATTTTTAAGATTTTTGTGAACTATTAACTGTGATCCTCTAAAAAAATTAATATAATTGGTAGTAATAAATTTACTTATATTTTGAAATTGTTAAATGATAATATTCGTGTTTATTTATAAAAGCAATGTCGATATATTTAAAAAAAGAGAAAATTTGTATATTAATATTTATATAAAATACTATTATATGTGATTTGTTACTGTATTATAACAACATTGAAATTATTTAATTTTGTAATCCTTAATATTTAATTAAAAGAGCATTTCGTATAAAAGTGAAACCTTATAGCAATTTTTAGATCTTATGATCATTATTTTTTCATTATTTAAATCCAATTGTAACTTAAGAAATTAAATAAACAAGTTCAAAACTTATATAAAAATAAATACATCGAAAGAAATTAGCCAATGGGTAAAACCTTACCCGTGTAAGAATGAAAGTATGTGTGCATATGGAATATTAAAAAAGTTATCATTAGTTTACCAACTTGTAATATTTGCTTAATAAATAAGAAAGTTTTAACAAATAATGAACTATATTGCATATCCACCGAAAATTTATTTGAAAATAATAAATCTTTATAAACTATAAATTATTAAGAAATTTTATGTTTGTCAGATATAAATCCATTAGACTTTTATTAATGAAGATAATTAAAAAATATATGCTACAAGTATACAATTTATCTTGTCAGTTAAATTAATATAATTAATTTTTATTTTATAAGACTGAAATAAATGATTTTTAAGTTCATTTTTGTTAAGACCTTTTTGTTTATTTCCATGAGTACTTCCAATTAATTTAAAATTTGGCATAACTTTTTTTCAATGTTGTATGCAATTTAATTTGGTTTAATATTTTTCCAATATCCTATACAATTCCTGTATATTTCAATATCCTGTAAAACTCTAAGTAATATATTATAAAACATTGGTTGTTAAGATTTGAAACATATCTTGTATTTAGAAGAAATATTCATTTCATTATAAAACATTATAAAATGATTATAATGTTATAAAATACGATATTTTATACATAAAGTAAAAATTCGTTTTTTATCATATAGTGATAGAAATATTATATATTGCTATAGCTATAGGCAAGTTAGTTTAAAGTTTACAAGAGCATGTGATTTTGTTAATAAATAAGATGACAAATAAAAATGTCTAATTATAATAATATTGTAATGTAATCACATTATCAATAATAGTTATTCAGCAATAGATAAAATAATAACATTATAATGATATAATAGGCAAGTCGGAATTAAATGAAATTATTCTACTTTCGTTGCCAATTTCATACAAATATTAACTAATTCAAGTTAATTTATATTTTAATTATTAAAAAAAAAAAAAAAAAAAAAAAAAAAAAAGAAAGTACATTAATACTATTTAATGATTAATCATTTTTTTTTTGTATCCAATAAAAATATTTATTCCTGTTGATTTGTTAATTATACTCACTTTTTTTCATATATGTATCCTAATATATAAGTTATTGATTTAAATTTACATAAGCTCAATTTTGTTAACCAAAAATAATGAAAGCTCAAATAGCTCATCTTATTTTATTCCAAAATCGATAATATGTACGTTTCTTACTTAACGAATATTTTTCGTATTGCTCTTTTATCTTGGATCTTTTAATACTTATTAATTATAAAATCAATTTTGTTGAAGCGTGTAAAAGTGCGTTTCATTTTGAAGCATTAATCAGTAGATTTATTCAGATATTTCATCTTTATCGATTCCCTCTACAGCAACACTGCGTATACCATTCCTTAACAAAGGCGTCCCTTTATCCTTACCTAATACTCGTGCGTTCAAGAGTATTTTTAATGGTGCACCAGATTTGCAACACATGACTTGAACTTCTTCTTTCAAGATTCGTTCCTTGTACGCCAGTAGTTCAATTTTTAATCTGTGATTGAAATAATTAAAATGAAAAATGTAAATTAAGCTATAATATAATTTTCAATTAATAAAAAAGGAGATATCTCTTTACTTAAGGCCATCCTTCTCTTGCATTAGGTCGATAATGTGACAGTCTGGATTGTGATGGTTACAGACAACTACAGCGGGTGCAAGAAGTTCACCGTGAACACACATATTCCATGGTAGAGAAAACTCCACGTGGTACCTTCAAAGGATATATACGCAAGATGTACGATACCTTCATCTTCTTCGTTGAGCGTATAATCTGGTTTTCATCATTTAAAGAAACAAATCATACAACAGTACGACTATCTACATGACGATTGCAACATTTACGTTTAGTTTATCGCATCGTTTTGTAAACCTGTGATGAAGCTGTAAGAATCCAAGATGAACATCTATATGTCCATGTCGTTGCGGTTGTATCATAATGTTGTTGTCCTTTCCAAGACCGCTTGCCCCACTGAAGTGTACATGATGTTCTGAGAAATATATGATTTAATTATAATAATATAACTTTATATTTTGCATTATATTGAGACAATATGAGACACAATTATAATTAGTCAAGTTGTAAGTTTCTGCCTCTTCATATCATGTATATATATATATACATATATATATATATATATATATATGTATGTATGGAATGAGATGGAATAAAATAATTACAATTATTATATATATAAAATATAGGTAGATTCTCAATCATTAGCATAATGTATTATCCTTTTTTTTTATAATAATACATTTTTAATAAATTTAACAAAATATTAATTCTTTTAATATAATTAAGCTCGAAATTTGCATTCAACGAGTAGAAAGTGACAATGCAAATTAATTCTTAACCTAATAATACTTTATCATGTTAATAAAGATAGTGCCCTGCCCATATTACTTTAGGCTAGATTACTTTTTATTTTTTTTATAAGAACTGATAAGTACCTTTATCTCCCATATTTTATAATGTTGCTCGTTGTCCTTAACGTCATAATACACAAGAAACGATTACCCTCTGGCTCCGTACCTATCCGTACCTTGTTGGCAACAGCATTAACGCCTTCTGACGGCAAAATTATTATCCGCCATATTTTTACGTCTTATAGGTGCGTGTAGAGTATGCGCAGTGAACTTAAACAACCAATGACAGAAATCAAAGGTTAGAGACTTTAAACAGGTTGTTATTTTATTCTGTAATTTAAATTAATCGTATATTAATATTGTATATGATTACATGTATGTAATATTAATAAAAGTAGTATATTTTATAATGTATTTTATATAATATACGAAATCTTTTCAAATCATTTTTAATGAACATGGAAATTGATGCTTGTGTTATATAGCGATTATAAACTTGTAATGAATGATTGTTTAAGTATTTATATACAATTATATATTTTTTATTTGTTTAATAAAAGAAAATGTTGCTGACATTGAGACCAGATCATAAGAAACATGTGCTATTTCTTATAGAGCAAACACCTCAAGGTATTATATCGCACATGATTTTAATTCCGTTAAAATATTATTTATCCTTATTTATTATAATAAAATTACACAGTGTTACAGGATTTTTGCAAACTTGCTTTAGATTATTTACAAAAAGGTCCTAACATGAAATTGTACTATGCGGCTGCCCGTAAGTACAATATATATAAAATGTGTATTCATATTTATATATGAATAATTATAGAACAAATATTCTTTTATTATCTATCAATAATATGTAATTATTAATATAGAAAAACTTGAGGTAGAAGTGGATGTTATAAAAAATTCAGTAGAAGGTCTTATCAACTTATTATTAGAAAGTTGTAATCATAAGGTATAACTTTAATTATAATACAATTATATATCATATAATTATATGTAACTTATAAATATATTGTAATTATATGTTATATATCATTGTAGTTAAGTAACGAAGACTTTCGAGATTCTATTATAGCATTAGGTTTTTCTGAAGAAAATGAAGCAATTTTAAGTAAGCTGTATATTACAAAGAACAAAGAGATATCTAATATTTTATCAGCTACTGGTTTTAAAATACCAGAATACCATGATCTTGAGTGGCGTTTTGAAGTACAGGTAATCAATTTTTTTATTATGTATACATTAAATGGTTCATTGAAAAAAGATAATAACAATTATATTGTTTCTAGACTGCTTCAAGAACCCTGTTAAAACAAGTTTCGCCATTGATTACGTTAGATTTAACATTGAAAAATAATGAAAACATGGAACATATTCTACTCCAAACAGATCCTGTCAATTTACTACATATGGCTCAAGAATTAGAAGAAGCTTTGAAAGAGGGTTATAGTCAACACACACGTCAAGTTTCTAGAGTAGCAAAATAAACTAAAATTAAACTAAACAAGTCAGTAAAAGAATTATTATTTTCTGAAACTATGGCGAACTAGATCAGAAATTTTAATATCAAAAATGAAAATAAGAAAATGTATTATTACAGGTAATATTAATTGTTACAATAATATTTTAAATAAAAAATCTTAATATGAATGAGAAATTGGATTATTTATGTTTTCATTATAAATTATTCACCTTTATTAGATATATATATATATATATATATATATATATATTGTTATATTTATTATATTATATATATATATATATATTAAAGTAATATGCTTGTATATTTGTTCATAGGAAATATGGAAGGAAATTTAATAAATCTAATAAATGTCAGTGGTTTTGTACCTGGATTAAATGGAACAATAGTAAACAAAATTATAAATCACTATAAATCATTTACAACTAAGTAATAATGTTCTTGTCAGTTTTTCTTTTCATTTATTTTTCTATTATTTAAAAATAAACAAATATAGAAACCAGATGGAAATAAAAATATGAATATATCTATATAAAATATCTCGTTTTGAATGGCTTCTTTAAAATCTTAAATGACAGAACTTCTATGACGTGGTTACTACCACTTAGTTATTGCGACGTATATTAATAGTAGGAACGTATGTTAATAGATTTAATATAATAGTGGAAGTATTCATTTGAATATTTTATTAGATTATGATTTTATTACATTTTGAATATATGTGTATGTATGTTCGTATTTGAAGATATATAAAAGAGACAGTGACCAGTTCATACTTCAAATCAAAATATTCAGCATTCAGAACATTACATATATTACTAATTATTAACTATTTATTATTTACTAAAATATAAATATCTTCAAATTCATATCTGTATGTATTAAATTTAGAATTCATTTAATTTAATTATTCCTATTTATAATATATCATTAAAATATATTTTATATTTATTTATTATATATTTATTTATTATATACTTATTATATTAAAATAATATGCTTATATATTTGTTCATAGGTAATATGGAAGGAAACTCAGTAAATTCACTAAATGTCAGTGATTTTGTACCTGGATTAAATGGAACAATAGTAAACAATATTATAAATCATGCCTTAACAACTATCGGTCCTCAATTTGCACATCAACAAATGCGATATACTAATCAAACAGTTGCTGATAAAGTACCTCCAGAAATGTTACATTTAATTGATCCTCATTGGTGACTATTACATTATATCTTTTATTATAAATAAATTCATTTTATTTATATATTTTAAAACGAATTAGCTATGTAATAATTTTCTTTTTTTTCTTTTTTTTCTCCATATAGGTATCAATTTCCACCTTTGGATCCATTGTGGCATAAAATATTGGGTTTAGTTATGATTGTACTTGGAATTTTAGGATGGTCTGGAAATGGTGTTGTAGTATATATATTTCTGATGACACCATCATTAAGAACACCTAGTAATTTACTTGTGGTAAATTTGGCTTTCTCAGACTTTATAATGATGGTTATAATGTCTCCACCTATGGTAATCAATTGTTATTATGAAACTTGGATCCTAGGTAATGAAAATACAATTTTTATGTAGTTACTTAGTTATATGAATAATATTAATTATGCATAAGCTTTTTTTTTTACTTAAAGGTACCTTAATGTGCGATATATATGCTATGGTCGGTTCTCTATGTGGATGTGCATCTATATGGACAATGACTGCTATTGCTTTAGATCGATATAATGTTATAGTGAAGGTATTTAAAAAGTCGCATTAATAAGATAAGCATAAAAATGTTAATAAGGATAATTGCAGGGTATGTCAGGTACACCTCTAACCATTAAAAGAGCTTTACTACAAATTGTCATTATATGGTTATTTGGATTGTTATGGACAATTTTACCAATGGTAGGATGGAATAGGTAAAAGTTTAATTATAATTATGTTAGAAGTTGTTTTATAGAAATTTAAACATTTTTACAAATTAGGTATGTACCAGAAGGTAATATGACAGCATGTGGTACAGATTATCTTTCCAAAGATTGGGGATCAAAATCTTATATATTGGTATATTCAGTGTTTGTTTATTATCTACCATTATTTACAATCATTTATAGCTATTATTTTATTGTTTCTGTAAGTATATCAATTATATTTATTTATTTATATATTAATAATTTTTATATTAAGAATTTTCATTTAATTCTATAGGCTGTAGCAGCTCATGAAAGAGCTATGAAAGAACAAGCAAAGAAGATGAATGTTGCTTCTTTAAGATCTGGTGATAACCAAAATACTAGTGCTGAAGCAAAATTGGCAAAGGTACTACTGTTAATTTTTACATAAGCTTATTTATATAAGCTTATTATATTAATACTATTAAAAAAATTATCAAGATTTATTTGGACTTAATTTGATTTATTTTTTATTTTCATTATTATATGAATTCTTTATTTTAGGTAGCCTTAACAACAATATCATTATGGTTTATGGCTTGGACACCATATTTGGTAATAAATTATATGGGTATATTTAATGGTTCTAAAATTAGTCCACTTTTTACTATTTGGGGATCTCTTTTTGCTAAGGCCAATGCAATATATAATCCTATTGTATATGGAATAAGGTATAAAATAAATATACAAATTTATTAAAATTTATAGATATATTCATTAATTTCTTTATTTGTATATTTTATATAGTCATCCAAAGTATAGAGCAGCATTAAAAGAAAAACTACCATTCTTTGTGTGTGGATCAACAGAAGAGCCTGCAGCATCTGCAGGAAATGCTGAAATATCTTCTACTACAACAACGAGTGCAAAAGCATAATTTTTCTTTATTATTAATATTCTTTAGTTTTCTTCTTAAAATGGAAGTATAAATAAACTTCTAGAGAATTAATAATGAATTACTATCAAAGTTTAATATAATTTATTGATAATTGTGTAAAAAAGTATTAATTATGAAATAATTACGATTATTATTTAAAAATAAATAATTCAGTGCATGTTTATTATTTTTGTAATTTATTTTAAAACAAAAGTACACTAATATAGTAGATCCTTGGAAGGTGTATTTTTTATCAGTAATTTTTAATTTAATAATAACAAACGAGTAATGCTGCTTGCATGATTTATTTAATTTTACAAAATTAAGTACAGATATAACGCTATCGCTATGTTTTGGCACGCTGACTAATCTTGTAATCATAGAGCCAATACCTGCTATACCAAAGTGACCATGTATATCACTATATTATAAAATGCACAAATTTATAATTCATTCTATTGATCAATTGTAAATGATTCACATTGTGGTGAAACATGAATCATAAAATTAATTATAGATGTATTCAAAGTTTGCTCATTTTATGTTATGTACACAGTGATATCATGTATGTTATTGGTACAGGTTTTGTTTATAAATCTCTCCTTCTAGATGTTAAATAGAATCAATTAGTTCACCTGTGTTCACTGTAGATCGTTGTTGTTTCTATTTTCTTTAACATTACATATATCACATGGAAGTCCTTATTTAGAACACATAAATATGGCTGCCTCATTTATTGAATAATTAAGTATTCTTCATTCTGATGATATTAATATTTTCATTTTAGTGTAATGTTAATTTCGAGATTTAGAAAGTGGCAGCTTTTTATAATTTTGCCTTTATGCAGAAGGTTTCTCGCCTTCAGGGACCGTAGTAACACCAGATGCAGTAGATGTTGCATCTGTACAGGGTGCTGGTTCATTTGCACAAGCCAAAGATGGGAACCTTTGGAAGAGAGCGGCTCGATATTTAGGATGGCTGAAATCATTAAAAAGAAGCAAGTGTATTAATTGTTTTTTCTAAATGTAATTACTTTTATATTGTTATAAACATAATATAAAAATTTCATTGATCTAATATGTTATCTTCTTTCTGTTTCTTATAGATGAAACAATTTCTGATGAAATGACATAATAAAGGAGAAATGATTTACCTGATACCATATACAATAGGATTATATACAGCATTTGCCTTTGCGAAAATGGATCCCCAAATGGTGAAAATAGGTGTTATCTTCTGGGTATCAAAGATGCCTGTATAATTAATGACAAGATAAGGAGTCCATGCCATGAACCACAAGGAGATCGTCATAAGTGCTACCTAGAAAGATATTAAAGTTATTGAAATATGAGAATTTTTTTTTAAATTTTATATTATTGTTATTTGCATATATATATGTACATATACCTTTGCCAGTTTGCATTCTGCGCTGGTATTAGCATTTTCAGAAGATCGTAGAGAAGCAACATTCATTTTCTTTGCTTGTTCTCGCATATTTTTTTCGTGTGCTGCGACAGCTTGGATGATGAAGTAGTAGCTGTAGATTATCATAAATAGTGGCAAATAGTAGACGAATACGCTGTATACAAGTATGTAAGATGTATTTTCAATGGCTTTGCTCAAGTAATCAGTGCCGCAAGCAGTCAAATTTCCTTCAGGTACATATCTATAAAAAATACTTACTATTAGATATAGTTTGAAAATGAAAAAAGAAAGAGATAATTTATTAAATTATAAAAAGATATTACCGGCCCCATCCTACCATAGGCGCAACAGTCCAAAAGAGCGAGAATAACCAAATAGCAATGATTCGAAGAAGGGCTCCATTAATGCTGAGTGGTTTGCCTGATAAACCTTTGACGATTACGTTATATCTATCAAATGCAATTAGTGTCATTGTCCATATGGAGCCACATCCAAACAGAGAGCCTAACAATGCGTAGACTTGGCACATAAGAGGTCCAAATACCCAAGTCTCATAGTAGCTGTTAATCACCTATTTATAAGAACATATTTTCAAAAAATTATAATATATCTAATTAAAATGTTGTTATCCGATTGTAAAATAATACCTACCACAGGTGGAGACATAGTAAACATCATGAGAAAATCAGAGAAGGCGAGATTGATGACAAACATGTTACTTGGAGTACGTAACGATTTAGTTGAGCAGAAGATGTAAACCACCATGCCATTACCGATGACAGAGATAATGCCTAGTACACCAATAACAAAACCAACCAAAGGATACCACATAGGGTTTATCGGCGGGAATTGATACCAGTGGGGATCAATTAAGTGTGACATTTCTGGTGGAACTGAGTCTGCTAAGGTCAGGTTGCCGAATTTCGAACCATGGCCCGCCCATGCAGCGTAACTTGGTCCCGACATAACAGTCATGCTGGACTATATATATATATGTAGAGAGAAAGTATTATTATTATTTAATTCATCAATATGATGAAATTAATTTAAATTGATAAGATAATAATCAACGAACAAAAATTCATAATGAAAATATAAATGATATGTCGCCATTAAAAAACAAAAAAGAAAAAAAATATCTAAGAATAATAATCTCCAATATCTTTGATTATATTATTAATTTCTCACTTTTTCCAGGCTACTTGGAGAAAATCGTCGTAAAGAAACGAACTAATCCAAGTACTCGCTTAATGTTAGTAGTGGAGGATGGTCACCGCGGGTTGTAAGGGCGTAAAAGACACCGACCGTTGTTTGGTCCACTGTTGGATGCGGCTCGTCTTGTCTCGGTCCGAGTCCAGTTTAAATATGAATCCAATGTCCCAACTTGACTCCATATGTACCCTCATTTTTTCTTATCTATATGACTACTTCATCTAAGTCTCCAAACAGTCTTAAGACGGTACTTATTAAGTTAAAAGGAATTAAAGAATACCTTAGCGCACCTTCAATGTCGCACACAGAAACCTTACAAGGGTACAACAAGAATATAACACGAAAGTCCGAAGAAGTATACTTCGATTTCTTCGTGAGTATCTTGAGAATCGTAAGGATAAAACTCTTATGTGACATTATCATACAAATTTTCAACAATTTATGAAGAAGAACACGTGATAATAACGAGTATAAAGGAAAAAAGAAAATATATTCATTTTTTTTTTGTTTTTTTTTTTATTTATAAGAACTGTTAAAAATTAAAACGTCGAATTAAATTACTTGATATTATTAATTTTCTTTTAGTATATATTATATTTTATTGATGTTTGCGTTTTAATATGGTTTCATCATTTAAGAAGCTTATAGTAATGTTCTATAATATATTTTCAATGTTAAATATCTAAGACTTTTGATTTTAATTAATGACTATGACAATATTAATGATTAATTCAATAAAATTAAAATCTAATCTAATATTTTTATAATCAAAATTAATTCAAATTTACAAATTATTTTCTAATGTTCTACAAGTCTTTTTCATTTTAAATTTGATTATTATTGCGCGCTATAGAAAAGATCGATAAATCGATCTTAATCGTTACTTGATTTCATGATACGAAAAACGATTTAAATTGTAAACGGTATTTACGATCAGTGGCCACAATAAATCCGATTATTGAAAGTTGAAATAAAGCGTATTAAAGTTTGCAATAATATTTAATAGAGTTTACATTCGAAAAAAGTATTAATTCAACAAATAATATTATTAAAAGATAATGGATGATATTATGAATGAAAATATTGCCGATTTAGAAATTGAGGAAGAGGAAGTGTTAACAGCAGAGAATGCACTTGAAGCAATTGAAAATGCATGGCTTAATGAAAAATTTTCACCAGAAATTCTACCACATAAATTTGATCTTGTCGATTGTATGTTGCAGCAGATAAGTCATATGGAAGAAAACATGAAGAGGTTAGAAAGAGATGATCTACGCTTAGTGGTCCATAGAATGGAACTCGATAGAATACGATTTCTTATTTCTAGTTATCTCAGAATACGTTTAGAGAAAATAGAGAGATATACTATTCATATATTGTCAGAGGAAGCTAGTAGAGAACCAGATGAAGCTTATTTAACACCAGAAGAACTTCGATTTGCTAAGGATTATTTAGGCAGCGTTGAAAATCTTTTTAAAACAGTGGCCTTACAACATATGCCCACCAACTTTCAAGGATTTGAAATAGATAAAGTTAGCACCAAACCGAATATGCAAACTCATGTTTTTTTAAGAGCTAACGAAAGAATAACTGGTATTGTTTTACCCGGTGTCATAGATGAGGAAATAGACTTTGAAGCTGGCTCACAGCATATTATCCAATATAATGCTATTGCTAATCTAGTAAAAAGTGGTGCAGTGCAGTTAATATGATTAAATGACAATTAATTGATTAGTGGATGTTTGAGAGAAATATCATACAAATTTTATTTTGAACGTAAGATAGTAATATTAAATATTATCTTATTTTATCAATGTAAAATAGACATTAAAACTCTTTGTTTATCTATCTTTTCCCATGGATAAAATTTTATCTTTTTATAAAACTATTAATGAAAAATTCATGATTCGTAAACAAGTTTTTTCTTCAATATAACTTTTTTTTTTTATTATATTTAGTAAAGAAAAAAAACAGATTAAGTAATTTTAATATGTATACAAAATGTTCTACTGTAGTGTTATTACCTTTGAACTTAATTGCCAAAAAAGAAATAGATAATCAAAAAGTTGCAATTTGTAAAATTCAGTAATTATTTATGATTATTTATAAAAAACATATGTAAAGAAGATTGCATTAATGATAATACATATATATATATATATGTATATATATATTTTTTTTTATTTTTGAGTTACAAAGTAATACATATATATATTATTAATATATAAATATAAATATATATCATTTTAACAAAGGATTACCATTTAAACTTTTCAAATCTTCTTCTTTTTGTATTGCACTTTCTGTAGACATGTTGAATTTGCAATTATTATATGCCTGAAAATGATATTATAAATATTACAAAATTTATACTGCTTTACAAAACAATTACTAATAGAAAATATGTGCAATAATTTTACCTCTTCGCTTATAATTTCAAATTGTTTCATCATATTATCTCCAGTTTCTTTTGCCATTTCGTAAAAATGACTTTGCTTATTCTTTAACAAAATATATGGATGATCGAATTCAAGTATTTTACCACGATCTAGTAACAACACTCTATCACTATCTATTATAGTATTTAATCTATGTGCTATTGTCAATACTGTACAATTTTGAAACTTGTTTCTAATTGTAGTTTGTATTAATGTATCTGTTGCAGGATCGACGTTCGCTGTGGCTTCATCAAGAATTAAAATTTTATTATTTTCTATTATAGCACGTGCAAGACAAAGCAATTGCCTTTGTCCTGCACTAAGATTGCTACCACTTTCACTTATTTGATGATCTAAAGAAGTAAATGCACTTTTTAATTCTACTTCCTCCATTGTAGCCCATAAAGTAGCATCATCATGTTTATGAAAGGGATCAAGGTTATCTCGCAATGATGCAGAGAAAAGGACTGGATCTTGAGGGATTATTGAAATTTTATTTCGAAGATCATGTAGACCAATCTTCTTAATATTAATTTCGTCTATGTAAATTATACCATTGAATTCACACAAACGGAATAAGGCTGAAATTAATGAAGATTTACCAGCACCAGTACGTCCAACTATTCCAATCTGAAAAAAAAATATGAGTAAAATTTACTTTACAGAATACATAATTTATCAATAAAAGCATATAATGTACCTTCATTGCAGGTTGTATAATAAAATTTAAGTCTTTTAAAACTGGTGGATCAGAATCAGAATATTGCAAATACACATGATCAAATTTAATCTCGCCTTTAGTGGGCCATTCAAGTGATGGTTTATTACTTGGATCACTTGTAAATGGACCTTCTTCATCAAGCTTTGTAAATTGTAATACTCTCTCTACACTAGTCATTTGTGCTATTGCTTCTGCAGTTTGACGCATACCATGTTGTAACATTCCACATAAAATGAGAACCTGTGAAATAGCTAAACCCACATTTCCAGCAAAAGTATTCTCTGAAATATTGACATAAATGATAATGTATAGAAAACCATTAAATTAATATAAATGGATGCATAAATATTATTCTAATTGTGTCTATTCTAATAGATATTTACCATTATTAAAAATAATAAAACTATATGTAACAAAAGTCACAAACAAAACAGAAACTGTATCAAGTGCAAAACCAAAAGCAGTGGCGGTTAAAATTGACAAAGAGTATGCGCCAGTATGTAAGTCTTGATGAGAATCAAATTCTTTGGAAAGCATAAGTTGTGCATTAGATGAACGAATTGTGCTTAATCCTATTAAAGATGAATTGACATGAGAGAAAACTGGACTTTTAGCTGAAAAAAGTGACAGTAGATATTATTTAACAATCAATTTTATTGTATCTTAAAAATTTAAGAATTGATTTCTTACTAGTCCCTTCCAAACGTTTCAAATTTTGTGCAGTAGTTATATACATTTTTCTTATTTCCCAATATAGAAAACCCATGATTAATACAGGAACAATAGTCCACCAATTAATTATTATAACTTGGATTAGAATTCCTGACATTACTGCAAAAATCTGAATTGATTCTATCATAGTTCTTGGCAAGATTTCATCAACAGCACCAATATCTTTCGAAAAACGATTGAGGATACGACCTGTGGCATAAACATATTTCACCGTGGCATTTATTTATTTTTTATTTTATCAAGTAAATCACACGACAATGCTTACCAAACGGATTTGTATTAAAAAATTGCATAGGCGCTTTAAGTAAACATGAGAACATCAAATTATGTAAATTTTTGCTTGATGTCATGCATGTTTTAAAAAATATAAGATTTCTAGTTATAGTCATAACTATGCTTACGGCGATAAAACCTCCATAAATCCATAGAGCAGTATATGTATCAAGGCCGTATGATTCGGTAGACACTACATTTACATTTGTCTAAATGCAATAATAATTTTTACATGAAATATATTGAATTTTAAGGAAAAATTAAAAATCATATTACCAACCATATTCTCAACTATTATATTCTGAATTATTGAAGAATCATTGAAGACTATATGTTTAATATTATCAATTGTATTATTTTTGATTGTGAAGTTTGCAGAATTTCCATTTTCATCTATTAATGCAGATGTGTTAAAATTACGTTGCGAATGTATAAAATCACGTTCTCTCTTTAATTTCATTTCTTCTTGATTTGTCCTATATCATAATAAATTTATCGTTTATATTATATATATATGTGTGTGTATATAAATATATATATATATATATATATATATAATATAGTAAAAATATCATTTAATAGGAGATAAAAAGTTCTATAAATAAGTATTTAAAAAATTTTTTAAACGTTTTAAAGAATCATACCAATAAGCAACCCAATAATCACTACCACTACTTCCAATTTGCCCCAATATCATAGAACAAACAAAGGCGATAATTGCAAAAATAGATCCTCCAGCTCTAAAATATTTCCAGTAAATAGCTTTTGTTAAGGTTCCTTTAGCCATTAATTCTTCTGTCTCTTGAGGTTCAGCATTATCTTCATTTTCTGTAGTATTACAATAAGATAACATATCTGAGGTAGAATCTATACTTTTTTCCTTAACTAATACTTTTTCCTTCGATTCATCATTTACTAATAATTTCAAAAAATTAATTTTTTTATTTTGAATATCTGCAAATGTTCCTTCATTTTCCACTTTACCCTATTTTGTAAACATATTACGTACATGTTTATAAATATTATACACGATAAATAACAATATTAAACTTACATCCATCAAATTGATCTTTTATTTTTTTTTTTTTTGAAATATTATACTTACATTATTAAGTATAATTATGTAATCACAATCTTTTAAGTACTGTATTTGATGTGTTACAAGAATTCTCGTTTTATTTTTCAAATATCCATTTATACATTCATCAAATAAATGTTTACTAACATGCACATCTACAGCAGATAAAGGATCATCCAAAAGATATATATCGGCATCTCTATATACTGCTCTAAAAATGACAAAGAAAATTATAGATATAATAATTACGATGTAAATATATAATTTATTTACCTAGCTAAATTTATTCTTGCACGTTGTCCTCCACTAAGTGCAGTACCTCTATCTCCAACCAATGTTTTATCACCATGTGGAAATTGTTCAAAGTCTTTAAGCAAAGCACATACTTTAACAACTTTTTGATATTTCTTTTGATCATATGATTGTCCAAATAAAATATTATTTCTCACTGTACCAGCGAATAACCAAGATTCTTGACTAGCATATGAAATATTACCTTTAATATTTACTTGTCCATGAGATATTTTCAATTCTCCCAAAATTAATTGAAGAAATGAACTCTACACAATAAATTAGAAATAATTGATTAGAAACGCTTTACTAAGTTATAGTTTATAATATTAAATTATATAAAATAATATATAAAAATGGTAGATTACCTTGCCTGATCCAACTGGACCAACTAAAGCATAAAGTTTGCCAAATTCTATGTAGTTATTAATGTCATGAAGAGTGCATACAATAGTAGTTTCTGTCCATGTAGCAGTGACATCTTTCAAAATAATACTACTTTTCTCATCTCTTGGCAGTGCATGAATTATAGGCACATTTTCTTCCAATAAGAGAAAATTCTATATTGACAAAACATAAATCAAAAATATGCAATGCAAATATATCTGATACTTCTTTTATCAAATCTTATCTTCTTTGACTAATCAAATTTTATTTGATTAAAAATACATTTATATATGTTTTACCTCTAATCTTTTTATTGATATAAAAGCTTCAGCAGCGTAAGCTACTGCCATAGGATAAAATATAGCCATGGTAGCTTGAAGAATATTAAAGTATTGAGCCATTGAAAATACTTTATCAGCAGATATATTATTTCCATGAAGTACATATGCCATGATTGTAAAATACAATGTTGTTCGCTCAGTAAAAATAAAACTAGCTAAGGTAAATCCTCTTAAGTACGATGTTAATGTAAGTATATCAATTTCATGACTGAAATAAGAGCATACAAGTTTATCATAGAATAAATAAAACACAAGTAACATTCATAAAATATAACTGTGCAAGATATAATAAAATTTAAAGAACTTATTATTACCTTCTTGAAAGACTAACGAGTTTTACAAATGGCTTTTCCCATGTATACATTTTAATAACTTGAATTCCTCTAATAATTTCCGACATTAAACGAACTCTTTCATCAGTTCTTTTCGCTATTTTCAACCTTAAATTTGCTGTCCACTTGCTCATATATCCTAAATTAATATTATATTAATACATAATGTAAATATTACTTCTTCATTGTTATTACAATCAACAATAGCCATATAAGGGAAATTATTTTACCTTGTACAGGAATTGTTTGAATTGTTATAAGAAAGACACCCGCTAAAGAAGCTATACCAACACTTTCCCAAATTAAAAAAGAGATTAAGGCACCTTGTATTGGCATAATCCAAATGTAATGTAAAAGTGTAAATAATTGATCAAATCTTGATACATCATTTGATAGTAAATTTATAATTTGTCCGGAGGTGGTATTTTCAGTAGTACCTTGTGATAATCGTAAAATCTAAAATAAGAAATATTAATGTAGTTAATTCATTGATTTCTAAACAAACATATAATATTAATTTATGGTTTCAATATCACCTTTTTATAAACAAGAGATGAACATGCTATTCTCATTCTCATGCCGATTTCCATTTGACCTAGATTAATATGATGACTAATTATTGTTGTTAATGTTATCATAATTACAACAGCAGTAGCATACATATATGCTTCTGTTACAGTTGATGTTGCTCTAGGATCAAAATGCCATATAAGTAATCCCAATGTATATGGTTGTAAGACTCTATAAAAGTATAATCAATATAAATTATAATAATATGCTTAATGATAATTTATTATAGTACCGATATATTTACCTTAAAACTAAGCATAAAAATAAAATCCATCCTCCGTAATAAGCAAATGATGATAAAAATGTCTTTTGCAAAGCTGTATATAACTTAGGTTTTCTACCAGCTGCTTCTGCTGCTTTTAATTCTTTTATCCAATTTCTACAACAAATGAGTTGAATTTTTATGGACTGTTTTTAGACATGTTCTTTAAACCAATTAAAGTATAGTTACCGTTCTAATTTATTTCCTAATAATTCACTGATGTCGCTAGAGGATACATTGTAAAGATCTTTAATTTTTAAATCATGATCTTTTCCATATAAAAATAATGGTTTTAACCACCTAAAATACAAATTCACATTTCTAATCTAAAATCTAAATAAAAATCTAATGCATCACAAATTTTAATATTATTAATTTTAAAAAACAGGAATTAATAATAATAAAACATAGAAACAAAATAAATTAAAGTATTATTATTAAAATAGTGTATTGTAAATACATACATATATGGAAAATAGCATTAATAGCTGATACATACTAATTATTGAAATGAATTTAGATATGGCTTATTTCTAATTAAGTAATTTTTAGCTTAATTATATAATTAAATATATTTAAAATATATACATATATTCATATATTAAAGAAATTCCATAAAAAAATTACAAATACAAATATGTTCTTGTAATTATATGATAAAAAATAATACAATAAAGATAAAAGAGAGAGAGAGGAAGAGAGACAGAAAGAGATAATAGCCAGAAAAAGAATATAAAAAAACATTGTAACATAAAATCATTTACAATATGTAAAAATTTAATAATTGTACTTAAAATTTAAGTACAATTATTGATTAATTAAGAATAAGAAGATACGCACATTTAGATTATACAAAATATTACATTATCAGACATTAAAAGAGAAGGAGAAAGAAAGTTTATTATATTAATAGAAAATTTAAATTGATCTTAATAATATATTTATACATTTATATAAGGGAAAAAAGAAAAAAAAAAAAATAAATAAATAAAATTAAATCTTACCAAAAAGTAAGTTTACTAAATATATTCGCTGTCGAACGCGGATTTGGATTATCGTATTTTTTACTGCTATCCATTTTTTAATTTGTTTATAAAATGTAATTTTCTTATATATATATAGAAAACTGTATTAACACTCTTTATATCACCGAAGCTGTTGAATGATTTGAGTATCTTATATTAAAACTTCATTAAAAGGAATGACTAAACAAAAGTTTATAAAACGTTGTGCAATACCACTAAATTATCTACAGTCTCGATAGAATGTATTAGATTATAAAAAGGGTATATAAAAGATCGTATAAGATAATATATATTTGATGATTATGAAATGTAATGAACATCCGTAGAGTATCATAAATTATTGTCCTTCAACTACACAATCTATGTGCAAACGTAGACGATTTGAGTTACGTAAAGATCTAAATGATCTGAGTTTTATTTGTATCTACAAGATGATAGAATTTTGTTCTTTTTTTTTTCTTTATCTTTTCTTTTTTATTAGATTAAAGTTAAATTATAACCATTCAAGTAACAATAAAATTATTAGAAAGGATGGATAATATATAGCAAGATGAAAAGAATAAGATAAATACATTTCTCAGATAATATAAAAAAAGTGCTTTTATCATTCTATCAATGAAAACTGTTATCATATGTCTAAAGTACAATAAAATTGCATGTAATATATAATAATATAAAAATATTATAATATATATTTATAAAATTATATTATAATCATATATATGTATATATATTATTACATTATTATCCTAATATATTATTATATTATATGCGATAAATTAGATAAATTGCTAAATTAGATATGTCTAATGCGAAAAGATTTTCAAGAATCGATAAATTTTCTATTAGATCGGAAAATAAATACATTTTACTTTATTTATTATTTTAAATTTGTTGACTTAATATTCATTGAATATAAAAATTATAATATTAGTCACAAAATATTATTCTTTTTCTTCTTTTTTCTTTTTTTTTTTTTTTTTAATTCTATTAATATAATGAATCATATTAAATCGCTTGTATCTTGAAACTATTCTCAATTGCTAGCAGATGGCGTTTTTCTTACGATAGCCATCTGTCAAAAATAACTGTTTATATTTTTCACTTGCAAGTACAAAGTACAAAGATGATGTACTAGTTTATAAATTCAAGAGATCTATTGTATATACATTTATATATAAATATATGTATTTATATAATATCGAATATATCAATAATGTTAAAATTTTGTATTATACATTCTCATAGATTTTTATCCAATTTTTGATTATTTTCGTTGATAAATATAGTGTACTTATGTAAAAAAGTTTTTATCAAGATTTGGTGTATTGTTATTTAATCCAAGTATAATTGTAAATAAAATAATGGCATTTTCATTTCATATCGGCACTAAGTGGTATCACAATTTTCCAAAACTTGCCAAAGAATCAGGCTTTCATTTCAATACACATAAATCTAGAATTCATATAGATTGGAATCACATAGGTATGTTGATATATTTTTTTTTCATAATACATTATATATATTCATTTATATAATTGTTAAGCTTATTAAGATTAATATTATTATTTCAGATTCTATTGACATAGACAGGGTGATAATTGAAAGAGACTTTATAACTGTAGATGAAAATATTAATAATGTAATAAATTATAACTTGAAAAATGAATACGATTTAAAAATATTAGATTCAAACTTTGTAAAAGTTTTTCGTCTTGCACAATTAGCAGTCGAATATTTGCTTTATTGTAAACAGTATTTAGATCAAAGTGTAATAATATTAAAGGACGAATTGAAATTAAAAATTGAAGACAATCATAAACTTAGAAAAGAAATTACGGCATTGGAAGAAATAATAAAGAATTTAAAAGATAAAGCTAAAGAAAGGAATAGAATGATTGAAACAAAAATTGGAGATTCTAATGGTGAAATACATAAAGTAATACATTTACAAATTATGTTAAATGTATAAATAATATGTGTTGCTAAACAAAGATATTATAAATTTTAATAAAATATATTCTTATATTTTTAGTGTCCACATTGTCCAAAATCATTTATTTCTATTACATTTGTTAAAGCTCACATAGCTCGCCGTCATCCATATACGACTGATTTATCTACAGAAATATCACCTGTACATGATCATTATAAAATTGAAACTGAAAAATTACATAATGAGATAAAATTGTTAAAGGAAAGACTTAATCAAGCTGAGAAAGTTATAAAAAATGAATCTGATAAAATATCAAATGGTGTTAAAATAGACAATAAGGATAAAGAAAATGAAAGCGAAAACGATGGTAGATATAATGTAAATAAATATGAATTAATTGAAAGACAACAAATAAAAAATAATGAAGAAATTAATGATTTGAAAAGTTTACTTTTATCTGAAATCAATGTTGGTTTGAGTGCTTTATTTCTACATTTTATATCTTTTAAATATCTTAATTCTATTTTAAAATCTATATTGTTTACAGAATTTGAGGCATAGAAATGAGAGTCCTTATAAAGTACATGATAATGTACCTGAGATTAATGTTAAGTTATTAATAAGTCAACAAGAAAGAGAAATAGAGAGATTAAGAAATCAACTTCTTGAAAAGGTACATAAACAAATAATATACTATAAGTTCATGCATATTAATGAACTTTGTTATATTTTTTTTTATAATATCATTTTCAGCTTACTCCTGATATAGAAAAAATGCATGATAAACTTAGAATGCAAGAGGATCATTGGAAATCCAAAATACAGCAAATGGAACATCAGCATCGTATAGATATAGAGAAAATAACTTCAGAATTAAAATTGACACAACAGGCAGCTGAATTTATAAAAACTGAATATGAATTTAAAGTTAATGCCCTAGAAAAACAATCTAAAGATCAATCAAGTATTTTAATAGAACAAAGTAAACAGCTAAGTTCATTGTCTCATGGATTACAAAATTCACAAATACAAACGGATTTAAATAAATATTTTAATAATATAAAGACAAAAAATATTATCACACCAATGATAAAAGATGATAAAAGCACACATTTTCAAAATACGAAAATTGCCGAAAATGGGGATGGAGACAAAATTCGTATTGAAAATACGAATAGTATGTTAAAACAGAAGTCCAGAGATGAATCAGTATTGTTAGTACCAAAAATTTCACAAAATTACAATGAAACTAAACAGTCTGATAAAGTATTAAATAGTGTTGATTATAATGCACAAGAGAAAAGATTGAAAGAGCAATTTAAATCTACGGATAAAACTTCTAAAAAATTTGAAAGTTTTGATGTAGTTAAAGTATCTGAAATAAAAAATGAAAATCAGATAAATCATAAATCAAAACTTGTACAAAAACATTCCAAAAATCCTTTCATTAAGATACATTCAAATAGAGAAAGTTTTCCAAGTATTTTAAATGACAAGAATGAATCCACAGAGTCAAATTCAGAAAATGTTGATTCTAAAATAAATAAAATTAATGTAGAAAATCATAAAATATCAAAAAATTTTCTTGATGTTGAAGTTGGCATAAGTTCTGTAACATCAAGTTATACTACAACAGAATCAGAAACAGGAAGTGATTCTGAAGTTGTCAGTGTTAAAAAAAACAATGTATTGTCAAATAAAAATGAAGTAATATCTTCTTTACTTAAATCTACAGAGACTTCTCAAAATAATAGTTTTTTTCCTGAAAAATTAAAAAAGGATATACTAGAAACATTTCAGAAAAAATTACGTGATTTAGGAATAGATCCAGAATGGAATGAAATACCTCAAATATCGTATAAACAAAAAATGAAGATTATTCGACATCATCAAAGTATATATTCTAAGGTAAATTATATCAAAAGTAATGTTATTTCTATGTAAAAAGTATTCTTGTTTATCAAATGTAACGTTTATTTATATTACAGAAATTTCTTAAATATAATGAAATAAAACATAACATACTTAAAGAAGTTCTTCATAGAATTTCTATTAAAAATAGTACATCACATCAATCTAAATCAGTTAAAAGATCACCATTAGATAAACTTGTAACTAATGTAAAATCTAAAGCTATGAAAACTTTTAGCATACCAAAAAGCTCTTGTAAGTATATATATATATTATATTTATTTGTAATTAAAATAATTAAATCTCTTTCTTATAATGGTCAGATATATCACCAAAAAAATTCAAAACGAATTTAGAAGATGAGGAATTAAAAAGTTTAAATGCACATGATACATATAAAATTCCAAGAAAGCCTTCAATTGTACCAAAAGAAAATGAGTACATATCAAAAAATGTTGATGAAAAAGAAAACAATGAAATTAATGAAAATGATACGTTTCCAAAGTTTCTAAATTCACAGAAACGTTCAAATTCTATGTTAGATTTGCATACAAATGACAAAAATCAGATACAAGAAACTTCTTCAAACATAATACAATTTATGAATGGGGAACCTCGGAAGACATCTACTCCAAACCAAAATGACTCAATTAGTTTGTTGAAACGACAAGAAGTAATACAAAGTTTTATTATTTCACCAAAACATAATAAAGGTTCTTTAAAATCTACAACAGTTACAGTAGGTAATTCAATAAAAAAAAAAGTACTTTTCAATCTAAAGGATAAGAAAGATAAAGAATTATCGTCTTCATCTCAACAGACAGAACTAAATGATAGTGATTGGAATATTTCAAGGTATTATATTATGATAGATATAATTATCAACAAATACACTTTGCTATAATGTTTATCTTTGTTTTTATTGAAAGTATTTCTGATGAAAAAACACAGCTTCAAAAACGGAAGTCTCCTAGTGCTGATAATATTGTATTAAAAACTACACAAGCTGAAAAAATAGCAGAAATTTCAAAAAAAATAGAAAAGCAGGTAACCTATGAATAATCCTACTACATATAATCGAATATATTTTACAAATTTTTTCTAAAGATTTATTCAAACTATATATATGTATATATATATATTTTTTAGCTACTTATATCTCGAAAAAAACCTATAGGATCTATTGAAGCAATGTTTCCTTCGGCTTCTATTTTAGAAAATAATAAAAAGGACGAGACTCAAGATAATAAAAGTGCACAATATCCTTATTTAAGTTCGATTAGTATTAGTAGTTCAAGTTTAGAAAATTTGAGTCCAAAATTGGCAGTAAATTCTAAAGTTAATGGTATAAAATTTCCATTGCCAACACCGAGAAATTTACAAAAGAAAGAATTTAATTCTATTGAATCACAAAAGACATTACTCATTACTAATGATACTAATCTAGAAGCGGATATAGATGATATTTTAGAAACGGAATGAAAACATTCTTTTATGATACATTCAGTTAATTAATATTGTAGCCTGTATTATTTTGATTTATCATTTATTAATGACTCATAAAATATTAATTATTATTTCTATATTCAACAA